CCACTTTTAAGAAATAGTTGGCCACATAAAGTACATGTATAACTGGCATATTCTTTATAAAGCCTATTCACATATCATGTATGTTTGAGTATTTTATTTGGCAGAAACTATTTAATGAATGACGCAATGAGAATGTTCAACATTTAATAATTCTTTGGAGAAAAATAATCTCAAGTCATTGTGGTGTTCCCAAATCAACAAAATTAGTAAATCAAACCAGTGTTCCTATCGAAGATTATTATTTTTGTTTTGCGAGTAGCACAGGTAGACTGTACATATGGAGGTTAAAACACTAAATTTTTGGGGCTCCCGAAGTATGCGAACCAAGATGGCGGACATCTGAATGTAATATGTGTACTTAGTAATAGGCCATAATTTTAGGTATAAATACTACGGGAGGCTCTTGGCTAGTCTTCGAACTGATAATAGGACTAAAATAAGGAAAATTGGAAAAATATTATCGCCTAACCCTAACCTGTTACCCATGTTACGTTCCGATGTCCGCCATCTTGGTTCGCATACTTCGGGAGCACCAAATTTTTAATATTAATCTTCATAAATAGAGTGTTCCAAAAATCAGAAGCCATGAATTTGTTTATTTCGCGAAAATGCAAAAAAAATTGTGATTGTACCTAAAAGTATCAGTAATCTAGGACGATTTGCACAAAAGTCATGTTCCAATGACCTGGGTTCTGTTTTTCTGGCAATCCTGTACAAATATTTTGATAATTATAGAAGGATTCAGTGTTGCAATAAAGTTTAATACTCAATATCAATTCTGATATATGCTGAATTTTACCTTAAAAAACCTAACATAAATCAAAATTCCGCTGCAAAAAATAGCAATTTTTTTTAAATACAACAGTCATTTTGATTACACAAACTTTGATAATAAGAAAAGATTGAATATTTCACTTAAAATTTTTACACATTTTCTATTTATGATATCAAAATAGAACATCCACACATACTCTCATGAGAAATGAAGGAGAACAACATAATGGAATTGAGTACATATAAGAGGTCATACTAAAAAGTTGTTTTTGTGAATATATATGTCATAGTTTAACGGTTCTGCTCGACTCGATGAGGGTCTGTGTTGATCCAGTCTGTATGTCAAATCAAGTCAATTCTCTTTATGTAATCAGACAAGCGTAGAACATGTATATTCATTCAATTATCAAGCTTAGTTGGGGGATAAAATTAACATATTATATAACATAACATTGTATATTTTGCAATGCATAGGATAGGTAATAGAAATTCCCGAAAATGTTTTGGTAAGGATTAGGGGAATCTCTACAAGATTCAAGTTTATTTATCAAATAAACACTATTTTTATGTGCATTCACTTTTCGAAAGAGGGAACTTTCAGAACTTTTTATTGGCCCTATTTGCTCTTTATGATAATTGTGTTCCATGAAAAATAAATAGAATAAACAAAGGTGAATTTTGTTATAATTATCGAAATAATTAACAAAGGGAATATTACAGTAGTCAGTAGCTTCAACCCAAAAGAACAAACTTGTAAGAGCTGTTTTGTGAAAATGAAATAAGCGTATATTTTTGAAGTTTAGATTCTTCTAACTTTGGATTGGAAAAATTAGACGCCAGCTTAAAAAGAATCAATTTCTTTGTTATATTTTCAATTATTTGTTTTTCAAAATTTCAACATTTGCCCTTTTGTCTTCAAAACTCTCGAAAGAACACAATTGCAAATAGTTTAGCGTTTAATATTGTTGTTAATTGTTATTTATTGAAAAGTCAGCTTTTTCAAATAAAAGTGTATGATTCATAGTTAGCATGAAATACTGTAACATGATGCATAGTAATTTTTGAAATATTGGGATTCCTAGAACCATTTAAACAAACATAAAAACTTGGGCTAAATACATAATTTTCCAGTACATACTGCTTATGAAACAGTTTACTGTCTAAATCAATCAATCGGATTAAAAATGATTATTTACAAAAAATTTTCAACAAAAATTTCAAATACGTAATATTCCTATAATTTGTCAACAGAATAGCTGTATTAACCTCATTTTAGTAATTCAGATTGGTTAACCCTTATTACACCAGCACAAGAATTATGACAATGTTTTATACCAAGTTCATAACTCACTAAAGTTAGGGGATAATATGTACATCAGCACTAAAACCTTTACGACTAGCCCCGGGCGAATAATACTAGGTGATGCGAGTTTATAATTTATAATTATTGTCCCACGGATTATAATTGACCATGTTTGATACAGTATTTAGTAACTCAAATTATCTTCACCTCCATGCATGTACTAGGTATAGGTAAATTTTGACCATAAATGTTTTTACATTTTTCGATGAAAATATGGTGGTTATGGTTGTACATAGTTCATATATCTACCGGTAAACATTCAAATAAAGCAAAATTTAATTCAGATAACAAATGGTTAATTCTTTTAAACAATAGTTTGACAATATGACTTCATTGTTTATGCAATCATTGGTCAAGGCCTTTCACAAATAGTTATTGTTATGAAGATAAAATGTGGCCTATATCATGCAAAACAAAATCAATAATCTTAGATTCCTAAAAACAACTTTTCAAAACATAATTTATTATTAAATTAACAGATTAGATAAGGTTGCTGAATTACCCAGATAATATAAAGAGGTTACTCAAGCTTTCATTAGAATATTCACAAGAGACAGATTGATTAAATATGAATAACTAAAAAACAAAATAATTTTCACTGAGTCCGTCACAAAATTTTGGTCAATAAGACCGAAAATAACTTTCATTTTGATGTAACTCAGTTCAATTTTGAAAATACAGTTTTTCATCAAATTGGACGCTTAATGTGGAGGCACAATTTACCGTAATTCAAAGTTACTTCTATGAAAAATGAAGAAAATTTATTCACTTGAATATATATCTGTTTGTGTATGATGGTGCCCAAAAGTATCAGAAATGTAGGATGCTTTGCATATGTTCTCTCTAGAATATGTTTCGACAGACCTGGGTTTTTGAGTTTTTTATTTTTGAGTTTTTGTTTTTGAGCCACCTCTTTCATATATACGTATACCTATATATTTTTTTTTTAATTTGTTTTATTCAGACCATTTTCGGTCTGAAATCTAGAATACATAACTACAATTAAGTCACTTAAGTGTAGGCTACTTCACTAAGAGGCATAGTATTCAGAGATTATTAACAAACTTTTGATATTGGACTAAATGATCAATGGATTATACCCGAACAAGCATAAACACAGGTCAAATATTTTTCTTGGATTCACGAAATTAGGATCAGATTACCTGTATACAAGTTTTAAAATTTTATGTACTTGCAAACCTCGATATTCAGTGAAATGGAACAATCGGATTGCTGAATTTGTGTCAATTATATTTTCAAGTCACCATCATGAGACTTTCAGTCATCAGAATGAATATGGATCAGGAAGAAAAATCAGGAAATAGTTTCAGGTCAAGAGACGCAATTCAAAGCATAGAAAACCACATCATTGACATAATTCGGCAACAAACTTTTTTGCACTTTGCAATCTTATATTACTGAAAGTAATACCATACACTGACAGCATATACACATTTATATTACACAGTTTTTATTAAGCAGCAACATGGCTGGCCAGAATTAACCCTATATTTATATTTCTTTTGGCGCTTCTGTAGTATGTGAACCAAGATGGCAGATATCTGAACATAGTATGTGTACCAGGGTAGGGTTAGGCCATGATTTTATTCCAATTTTCCTTATTTCAGTTCTATTACGAGTTCGGGGACTAGCCAAGTGACTTCCGTATTTGTATTTGAAATTATGGCCTAACCCTAACCTGGTGCACATACTTTTTTATACAAAGGCCAGTTGAAAACAAATTTCAATTGACAGTCAATTTGAAAACCCATTTCAACTTAGTAATTAGTGTGTTGAAGTAAGAATAAACAAAAGCCAACAAGGACAGTGATGATACCAACCAACAATTCAATTATTAAAGTTCATAAAATGCATCATTTCGTAATTATGTTATCAGGTAAATCTGATACCAATAATGAATATTTTTGTCAAGCTAAAACACAAAAAGAAGTCAACTTAACATATGCACTGTATCCCATGTCATACCTTTTTTAATTTGAAATAGATTCTACAAAAAAAAATATTTTAAATACACATATCATATTTCAATAGAATAAACCATGTCAGAGTTGAATAAAAAAAAAGTACAGTGCCACCATTACAAAATACTTAATATAACATAGTACTTCTAAAGTAAGGTAACAATGTAATAAAAATCTATGACGAAAATAATAAGTGATTATGCTTAAATACCCAGAATAACAACTTTTCTTTACTGACAGACAGGTAGATAATTAAACTGACAAACTTGTGATACAAAATAGTACATAATGTATATCTTTGTGGTGTAGCTAAATGTTACCGTAATTCTCATCTTATTTAGTATTCAATAAATGAAGTATTTCGAAAATTTTTTTTTTTCTAGATTTTATAATTTTTCCCTGAAGGTCTCTATGGGAATACTGTCTGTGAGACTTCAATTGCTCTGAATGAAACTACTTTATTTACCGTATACTTAAAATCGAGAATTTGAGATGTTGAATATAACTGTTTTTGAATAGATTCGATTCGTTTTAGACACTCATTTCATGGTATTACTGAAAAATGTTTTCATTCAGCTATAATATTCTGCTATATTTCTGCACTGATTCTTCTTTATTATACATGCTAAATGCTACTCCATATTTAACAAAACAGTAAATTAATAACATAAAAATAACACTAATTCTCAAATATTTTAACAAATCAGAATTAGCATAAATATTGAAATAATAACATATCTATTGCTCAGTAATTTCTTTATTATCAAATAATAATTTTCCTGGCAAGTGTTTCGAACCAACTAATGGTAATTAAACTCAAAACTTTTCTTCTTTCACATAAAATCTAATAAAACATCATTTAATAAAAATTTAAAGCTTACGTTTTTGGCATAAACCAAGTCCCCAACATAATTCCCTTCCATCGACTTTATCGCATCCGCTGTTTGGACCGCACTGGTCTACACACTGACTCGGTTCTTGATTCTCCTTCAAAACGACTTGATCTTGGGTGAGTTTATCCGTACCATTCGATATTTTTGATCGATACTGTAAAAAGAAGAGAATGTATAAATGACTGTGATTTCGTAGTTATGCGCTATGAATAAGGCTCTACACCACAGGGGTGGGCAAATAAGGGCCCGATTCGGCTCTCCGAAGTGTTTCATCCTGCCCACTTGTGACTGCTGAAATTACGACATATTGATGAAAATAACGTCATAATGACCCTGATTGTTACATTGTGCTTCTTCTTATTATATAATCGTTAAGTAATCGCCCACCTCTGCTCTAAACACACAGCCACTGATAGGCAATAAGTTACTATTCGTTTCAGAAGCTTTCCAATTCTGTATTTCTAATTCTGTATTTCTAATTACACACAGTTGGTGCGGTGGACATGGGAAATGAGCATGAGATTGTTATCTATGATTCCATCATAGCCAAGTTTAATGTTTTAACCCGTAGGCCACCGCTTCCACGAAATAAGTAGCTAGTAACACCTGTTTGTCAAGGTCAAAATTTTGAAAAAGTTGAATCAGTCCTATTAATAACATACATTGAGGTAGCTTAACATTAGAGATTGAAATTATCTTAAAGAGGAGATTTTAAACCATTTAAAATTGTCATTGCTAATTTGTTTTTGTTTTCTAACACAACACAGGGATTAGGTGTGCCTAAGTAGCTGGCAGTCCCAAATAATATTTTGAAATAATCATACACAAACAGAAATCCCAATCAATGAGCTGTTTTTCTACTTTTGATTGTGAAATGGAGAAAAAAAATTAGCAAAAAACTTTCAGATAAAACAAGACAGTATGTGAGATAATACACAGATCATGAAGCTGATAATTAATAGTTTCGTACCACATGCTTAAATTACACATACAATTTTCATATGACGATGACGAATTGTGGTAAATAACACTTCCATTACAAGGAATTGAGCAAAAAACCTGTTAGTGGATTTTTGCTAGAGTAACACCGTCATTCACGCTACATTCTTACATCACTACGTATACCCATGATATTCATCTACATCATTTTTTTTTTCATTTTTGACAAGTAATAAGAAAACATAAATTCATCAGGTCAAAAATTTATTAAAAACCTATGTTTTTGCCCCAAACTTAATTCAGGATGAAAATATATTTTTTATGATTTAAAAAAAAATACAAAGAGTTTGTAAATCCCAGTTACAATTTTCAATTTTGTTATGAAGTCAGTTCTCAATATATCTTAACCAACTTTGTTTTATTTTAATTAATATTTATTCAATTTTTTACTTATTTAATACAGCTGTTGGGACCAACAGACTATATGTGGTATCGGTAATTTCCCTTTGCAATTTGAAAAAAGTTCAATACTTTATGAAACTGTATAAATTGATTCAATGTAATGAAATTTAATATTGAATCGGGCAAACCGATTTGAACCAGTAACAAGTTTTTAGTATTTTATGTCAAAATAAATTAAATATTAGGAATTACAGTGAAATCTTATCAAAAACAATTGTTGACTGACTTCTTCCCTATTAAATTAATTATTCATAATGGTTATATAAGCAATATATTTACTTACATGATTACATGATAGTCATTTCAACACTAGTGAATTCTTGGTAAACTTATTATAGATATTATGATACCAAAACATAATATGATAATGAGAGATCAAATTACATAATATGCACTTGGATATACACAGATTTGAACAAATCAATAATACTTACACTTCCTAATCTTTGCCAATCGATGGTTGATAAATAACACAATTTACTATTCTTTTGTATACGAACTCCTCCTTTGTTGATAAATTGAAGATTGCCAAGTCCGATCTGAAATAAAAAAAAAAATTAAAAATATTTTCAAACAGTAATTTTATTTTAGTGTGATTCTAATATGAAAAATTAAAAAAAAAAAAAATTTCAACATTGCGAAAAATTGAAACACTAAACATGCTGAATTTGTCAATATGATTTATTAAAATCATAACATATACAGTTTTTTAGTTTATGTACAATCATTCTATAAAGTAATTTTTTCCCATTAATAAGGTCGGTTAATAAGGTCGCGGTCGTAATAAAGATCCGTAAGAGATTTAATCATATTAAGATTAACTATAGCCTAATGAATCATTTTATTATTTGTGACAAGATTCCATCGAAATTTGAGGTTGTTACTCATATGAAGTTCAATAACACATGAGACATTTAAAAATAAATTAGGAAGGAGAGCTCGGATAAAAAAATTTCAAATTTGTCATCAGGTGAACAAAATAAAACCAAGCATTTATGACTTTTCAAATAAGTACCACAATTTTCAATGATATTCTAATAATTTACAAATTTTATTTTATATAAAAAAGCAGTCAAATCTTCACAACTGTCATTTATTACCGTAGTTAGGATAATTCTCAAAAAAAACATCATGGCATGAACAATAAACACAGGTAAAAAATTGATTTCAATATGTTTTCTTCACTATGGTATAAGCTGAATATTTGTTTTTGTGTTTATGCAAACGATGCGTCTGACAAATTTACCAGCCGCTAAGAATGAATCACACTTTAACACGAACTATTATCACATGCAGAGAGGAAAAAACAAGTCGATGCTACAGCGTGGATACACAATGATTCAATGCAGATGGATTAAAAACAAAACAAATGCGGGAGAACTCGCATGACCTGCAACCTGTAAAATATTAAATTAAGGTGAATTTTAGAATTGCAACAACTTGATAGTAAATGACGCAATTTTCTTTATATTCAACTGCCTTGTATCAGACTTACCTCTGTCATGTGTGGATTTTCAAATAATACGAGTGAGTAGCCTTTCAGTGTTTCTTGTCCACCAATCACAGCTAAGTTAGGAAACATATATCGTAGTGTACGAAGATTGTACATTCGAAAGACGAGAAGGTAATGAGTTATAACACGAAGTTTTGGAAAACGATATCTAAAAGTAAAACAATAATAAAATAACAACAAATATATTGATAACACTGAGTTTCAATTCAGATGAATGATATACCAATGTTTTTTTTTTAATAAGTGTCCAGTTGAAAATGACTTGTCATAGTAGTTTGACAAGATGAACCCAGCATTCGGTATCATTATGATGAATTTTATTGTTTAATAACTTGAAAAGATTTTTCATGATAACTACTATTAAATAGCAAATATATTTGCTATATGGTAGATATATCGGCGCTCCAGAAGTTTGTGTATTAATATGAAGGTAACCAATTTTGTTTGCCTACTTTACATCAAGTTGTGTAAAGAGACTGAAACCTATGGGCAGGGGATATATTCACTTTGCTATCACAGACAGTCCCAAACTCATAATAGAACTAAAATAAGGAAAATTGAAATGAAATTATGGCCTGACCCTACCCTGGTACACATATTACAGGAGTAACGATATATCAACTATTATATCTAATGATGATAAATAAAAATTTACGCTCACTTTTTTAAATCTTTCTCTTTCAAGTCATGCATAAACACCAGGTGAACAAAACCATTAACGATGGTACAATTTTCTAGATCTTTCATATGTGCTGCATCGTTACGAGCATCGATGATGTCACAAACTGAAAATATTGCAAAGAACTTAATGAGATTAATCCAGTAATACACAAGGGATACAAGTCAGTCACCTCATCTTATGGGAAATATTTATTACTTAATCTGAATCAATCTGCATGGCATGGTATAATCATGGCCGCGTTCAATATGATATAAGATTAATGTTGATAATGATATGTATGAATCAGGTATAAATTAATTTCACAAGAATCATACAAAAACCTAAAAACTGAAAATGTGAGAAATATAAAACAAAATTCATATTGTTTATTAGTTGAAATATTTGATATGCTGTTTTTCATTCAAATTAATTTAACCCAGGGTTTCCCAAACTTTATGTGCAGCGGACCCCTGTTTGTGAATTTTATTTTTGACGGATCTCCTATTCTACGCCGTCCCAATTTCTGTGCTTAACCTTTTTAAATGCCTTTTCTGACAGCCATGGATATTTGTCTGCCACGATCAACCAAAAAGATGCAATGACTTTTGATTGAAATAAATCACTAAAGATCGATCTGACTCTTTTCACATCGTTGCGGACCCCGCGTGCAGTCATCACGAACCCCCCCTCGGGTAAGCGAACCCCACTCTGGGAAACCCTAATTAAACCAGTGATTCATTGTTTCCATGACAATTTTCAAAAGCTAAAAGTCTAAAACTAAAGAATTTTGGAGGAACAATCTGCACGTGTAGCAGAACGATTATTTTGCTATTTTTGTCAGGTTTGAGTATTCAAAAAATCTTCATAATTTTTAGATGCTTTGATAGATGGATTAACCATACTTTAGAAGCTTTTCTGGACCAGTACAATGACTAATTTATCATGATTGATATAAGATGCTTTTTTATTACATTCTTAAAATGTTCTTGATCTATATCGCTGTTTTCAAAACTACAGAAAACTGGTATATTGACTTATTTTGATAATCTACGATTATGCTTATTTAAAAAGTGAACACTAATCTGCCGAAAGACATTACGTCGGATAACTATCAAGCGTGATCGACAGTAATAATAATAATATTAAAATATAGGTAGTTAATCTTAAGTTAAGCCGTTTCTCAGAAACTAAATCAAATTATTTATCTTTATTAATCAGGTTGATTTCTTAGTGCAACCTCTTCATGCCGGAGAAGCAATATAAATATATTACTTTATACAGTAGGTATAGTTTCACTAATACTGTTTAGTTATTTGAAATAATTGTATCACATATTTACCAGTTGTTGGAAATAGAGCAACAAAATAAAACACGCTCAACCAAACAGAAAGGATTATAGAACCATAGTTACAAAGAATCAAAATAACTAGGTATGTTGGCTACGGTTAAATATCTGGGGTTCATTCCTCATTTCCTCCTACCCCACCCAAGATTTTATGAATTCAGCCGACAATGTCGAATAATTGATCTCACAAAAATAGCACCTCCTTAGGATGTCAGTCGATACAAATACAAAGCCTTGTTCAGAGTGACAGCATGATTGATAACACATCATAAAATAAGGTTGTCTGAACCCAAACTCCCTATGAAGGACGAAAAAATAGAGTCAGTGTTGAGGAACCTACTTCTGTATTTTGGATTAAGGTCATAGATTATCGCTTTTTATGATACTGAAGTCTAAGATATTGGAGGAACTTTGCTTTGGCCTCTTATGCCTCGATACTGCTTTGTAATATTAGAAGTTGAATGAAACTTGTTTTCAATTTGTCTTGGAAACAACTTCAAGTTTTTTGAAAGAAGAGAATTTTTAATCTAACAGATTTAAAATCAAATCAAATGTTTTACTAATAAATATTTCTGGTATTTGATTTATCGCAAATATTCTCATTTAGGTTAAAGTACTATATTTCATATTTTCATTGATTGCATGAATAATGGCATATAAGTACAAAAGATTTTGATTGCCTTATCGTATATGCTTAAAGCATTTTTCCAAGTACTGTGTCTATAAACCTAATCTATGTTCCCATAATAAATATACTAACCTGGTCCCATATATGACATTGCAAAGAGGTCATTAAACTCATATTTGAGGTGTTCTGGACATTGTGAGTCGGCATAATCCATGCCATAAAAATTATTTTCATCATTGTTCGGGTTGGGTGTCGTGGTCGCAAGGGCTCGACGAACCCTCGACTTGGTCGCTGGGTCAGGATTCCAACGTGCCACTTTTTCTCCATGCCTGACAGGACTATATAAAATGTCCTTTAGCTTATCATTAAATGTTGCATCAGCTGCATTTGCTGATAAGAGAATACATATCACTAGTGTCAGTAACCTCCAACCATTCCTCTCTCCATATACTTGACGCAAGGATAATGCAGATAATTGACTAAATCCTTTTATATGAATTATTCCCATATTATGTATTTTATTCCAATATTCAGTTGCTTATGTCCATATAAATCCAATGTCACGATGCAGTAGTAATCATACTTGATTTATATCTAGGTTTCTTAGATAAAATACCAAAATTCATTAGGATGGCATAATAGAGATGTCTACTTAACTCCATGTAACCACATCACTAAGGATTTAACTAACATAGTAACTGGTAAACTGACAATCTAAATCATATATTGGGCTATCGTTTTTCAGTATTTGGAAATGACTAGAAGCTTCTGCTCTAGGGTTATCAGAGTTAAATTTAGTACCTAATCAATTTAATCTAACCCAATCTTAAAAGTGGCAAAAGTGTTGCCAGTAACTCTCAATTAGTTTTTGTAACAAAAACTGTTTTACTATTTCACCTCAGATAAGATATCATTTCTATCCTGGGGATGGGAGAGAAAAATGGATAAGTTGGCTTAATCATGGCGTACCACAGATTCTCGCTGTCTCGTTCAGATACAGGTCCATAATATCAGTTATGAGCCAGTTTTTTGTTTCAGATTCATGGACTTCATCAATAAAAAGTTAATAATCAAAATTATCTCAATCCTGCAAACTCTGAAAGTGGATTGGTGGTCCAACTATCCACAGTACTTATTTATATAGTAGATAATACAGCAATACAATTTTATCTCAATTCTATTTTATCCTAATATTACAAGCAATACACATGGAGCAAAGTCTTGAATACTTCAATAAATCTTTCAAGATGTAAATTATCACAACTGACACCTGGACACTGACATTACTACAATATGTCCTTGTGATTTCTAAAATAGCTCATTTTTGTATTTTTATTACTGTACCGTATTAGATGTTATGTGCATGTTAGGTCAGTATCAACTCAACTATATAACAGTATTAGGCAATCAACAACAACAAAATTTTAATATTTCACAGATACCGATACTACACTCAGGCACTGCTGCACTGAGACTTTTGTCTAGCTCAAAACTTTCCGGCCTGTTCCATCTGGCTACGATATCCCATTCATAAAAACCACGCTTTCTCTCACCTTCCAATACGTAATCAAAATATGACGTCACAACCGTGAGATTATATTATACTTCGGTGTTATTTATTTGAATTACACCCCGATATAAAATAGCAATTTAACAATCAACATTTCTACCCAGTCCATGAAATAACACGGCATCGGCGTCGTGAGTAGGCGTAGAAAAAAAAACAGTTCACACACATACGACGAAGCACGAGACCACCGTTTGTCTCTTTATGGCGGCCATACTGTTGTTTCGACGGACAAACAAAACAGCCTATTACAGTATTACGGGAGCCGCTGATTTTACGAGGAGTTCGCCTGAGAGGCCAACACCGTTTCTTTTTGCGGCGGCCTACTGTTTATCATTGAGCGGCTAGACATCGACTGCGCGCGTACGTGTCTCATACTGTCAATAACAAATTAGCAAATATGCAAAATGTAACTTATAGTCGAATAGTTAACGACCGCTTAACCCAAGTGCACAGTTTAAACTTTGGAACACGGACAAGAAAAGCGAAAACGGGACTGAATCTAAAAGTTTGGTAACGTACCGATATCCGAATCGTTAAAATCAAGACGTTGTTGTGTATATACGGAAAACAAAGATAAAAACTTCCGGCGTTGTGTTACATCGTAAATTGTGACAGGAGGTTTGATTGCCCTCTGGCAGTTCCGAAAATAACATACAGCGACGTCAAACCGCCATGACAGAAGTTTTCGAACCTTTCTCGAAAGACATTCGCGGAATAAATGCCTGATAAAATCGCAGAACGCCAAAGGCAGAAGAGTAGGATCACGTTTGATGTTGGAATCTAAAGAGAATAACGCAAAACATTCTAACCCCGCAATAACAAACACCCCCTGTATGGATTCTTTAAACAGGGAACTCAACATCACCACCAAGCGGTTAATTTACATACATAATTTATTTAAAAAATCGTGGACGTGCAGTAAAGAGTTGCAGGACAAGATCACGGAACATTTATTGCAATTCTACAATGTTAATGATCATAGTATTGCCGCTAATTAGGCCCATAAAGCTGCTTGAAAGACGAAAATAAAGATATGAATAGTAAAAATCAAAGCTCACACCATTCATACGCCGATTGAATAAAGGCCATCAGATTATTGGCTTGATTTCCCTACCTGTCTCAATTTATCACTCTTGATTTCCCAACTTATACGACCTAATTCATATTTATCAACTAATACCATACACACTATATACATATTTAAAAATTCAATTTTAAAATTTGAAACCCTCATATAGTTATGTCACAGCTTTGAGTCGCGCTCCACCAAGTGTATTTGGGGCAGTGATTTCCCTACACCCCCCCCCAATAGGGGGTGAACACCCCCCCTAAAATTTCAAACACCCCCCCTAATTTTGAGGTGCGATTCCACACTGTATTTCCTAACTCAAGTATAATTGTATTCAAATATAACGACTATGGCATATTTATCAATGTAGATGAGGGGTTCTAAACCGCAGTCTGCGGGCCAATTACGGCCGGCGTGACGATTTAAAATGGCCCGCTATTTAAAATATTTAAAATAGAGCCTATTTTGGTGCCTATTTCTCAAAATTTTCCTGAACCCCAGCCCTGTCGTCCCGGACTTTTCCCCGCTCCCCTCTTCTGGCCTTACAATTTTTTTCTGATGTGGATTCTGGCTCGACGTCAATCAACTTGGGGGGGGGGGGGCTCATGTACATCGTTTCTTAAATACATACCATTTTTTAAGAATACAAATAGCCTAGTTTTATCTCTAATAGCAAATTATTTACCACCCCCTCAATTTCGAAACACCCCCCTAAAAAGAAAAGCTGGGGAACATACTGATTTGGGGTGATGAATCATGTTAGGGGTCATACCCCAAAACCTCATCGGCTATGGAGCCGGAACCCAGAACAAATGGCAACCACAACTTAGCAGAGAATGTATAGATATCCATCCTATTGAAAATGATAAACTTGGAAATGAAATCGGATTGCAAACAAAGAGACTTCTCTCGCCAGGACAATGTAAACTTTGACCATATTATGTGATAGGGGTAATCAAGCTGGGGTTCGTGGCAATTTTTTCGGGTCCGTGAAAGCCTCTAGTGGGCAACCTCTGGCACGCGTGCCACATTTGGCGAGGCCTCGGAAACGATATCATTCTTCTACAGATAAAAAGTTTCAAGACTGAATTATCTGATGAAACTAGGTGCTCGTTTATTCAATATCGTTTGTTAACAATCCGTTATTTATTTAAACGTTTTGTCCTTCCATGACATATGGCTACAAAGAAATATATTACGACGTAACAACTAACAACTGAGTGTGCTCTCGTCGAGAAGTGCGCAGCATCCATTTGGCTATATTCTTACGTATAGTTCGTCTGTGCCACCCTTTTTATTCGCCTTTGCTTGATTTATGAGGTTGTGCATCATGTTGGTTAGAAATGCTTGCTAACTTACTGTTATAAATTAATTTCGGAAGAAATACAAGCGATTAGGGAAGGGAATACAAGTGCAGAAAACTAACTATTGAGCGAGGATGCAATTCCCGAAAATTTTTCGTGTCTTAAAAACTTTGCAATGGCATTACTCTCCATGTTTTTATATACATATATTTGTGAATCTCTGTTCTCAGTTATGTAATTTATTAAGTCTCGTAACAGGAGTAGCCAAAAGATGAAACCAGTAGTTCGCGTATTTCTTTGAAAGATACAAAATATGAACCCAGCGTGAAATCTCTATCAGCGGTAATGCAGCAGCAGAAGTCTCACTGATAGAAAATGATATAAAAGTAATCAAATCAATTAATCAGACACATATTTACCTGAATAGTGAACCTGTCTGTACATGTTTAAAAGGTTTATTATTATGTATTTTTGCTTTGGAAGTAGCAAAGCATTGTTTTTAATTTTGGTCGGCACGCGGAAGAATTTTGTCGTTAAATTTAGTCGATTATGGCACGCGAGCCGAAAAAGGTTGCCCACCCCTGCCTAGCAAATAATTAACAAATGAATATCATTTGATAAAAATCAAATTACAATTATATATGTTATTAGATCCATTTCGCCACTCTGCAAGGACCGACTGCAGTTTCTAGTCCATCATGAATGAAATAAATAATTTGTTACCTACAAACATTTTATATTTATTACCTCCGACTATTTAGAACCGGGATCGCAATCGACCCCATTTTGAAGTGTGCGTCCGTGTTAACAATTTTTTGTGCCCCGCCAAAGTATCAAGAAAACTCAGCTTTGTGTTTCGCTTATTCTTCCGTGAATTGTCAAGTTTTCGAATGCTCATTTTCACCGATTGACTATAGCTAAAATATAGCATTAACAATATTTAGATACCTATATATATTCAATTTCACATGTTTTAACTGCTACGTAAATTTAATGTTTTATACTGGTGGAGACATTTATATCAATCAAACTGATTGCAAATTTTATATTACGTTAAGTAACAAACCGTTACAAACTTCGAGGATTATGCACTCTTCTAAAAAACGTAAATTTGCTGATGAACATTGCGTCTTTAATGAAGAATCGGGGACGTGGCGCATCGTGCTGAGCGTTTGGAATACACTCGTCTTATAGGTTTTCCTCTTCGCCGAAATAAATATGTAAATCCCATCCTAACTCACAAGCAAATATTTTTTACTTGCACAGGGAGTAATGCTTGATGTTTAACGATAGAACCAACACGCAGTGTTTACGAAGCAATCAGCAATTCAAGGTAGTCTTTCATCTCGCCAGACCAATTAGGCTTTTTTTTGCCAAATTTAAATTGCGCACTAATTAGAATGTCACTGCGATCATTATAGGGTGCGCCCCTCTTCTACTTCGTTGCCTTTCCAGTGGCATGTAACTCTATTTGCAATCTGTACTATTATATACCGAAAAATTCTCACCCAAATGTACAAAAAATAAAACTTTATTCTCAATAACGCAGTGCCATATCTACTTTTAGGCATGAATATAGTGTAAACAAAATAACAGTACAGTACATTTATAACCATCAAGCAGTGCTCACTTAAGATCCAGGTCGGAAAAACGGCGGGACAATCGACCATCTCAAAATTTCACTTACAAGTGCTACAATCACAAGAGTTCGTTACCCATTTTGTAAATAGCTTCGCACCTTCGAATATTACAATTTTATGAGTGTAATAAATGTTGCCGTCAAAATTATTGTGACCATTTTTTTTCATTTGTGAATTTTTAAGCTACATCACAAAATTCTAAATATGCCAATAAATGGCCATAATTATATATCTAATGAAAAAACACAAGAACAATATATTTCAACAAAAAATAACTGAGAAAATGTGCAACTTGACATATATTACCTATTTTTAAACTAAAGCGGAATACAAAACTTACAGAAAATTACAAAATACACAAAATAAAAGAGAAAAAGAGACAGTAGAGTACTAATGAGTTCCAAAATATTTTCATATTTGATAAAGGGAATATTCCAGTAAGAATAAAAGAACGAATATCCCGACCCGATAACTATAAAATAACATAAAAAACAGATTTACCAATTTGAAAAAAATTAAGGATTTATTGTCGAAGCTTATTCCAAGAGATATATTCTTCAAAGCATGGGCCATTAAATCACCATTCATTAATCCTACCATCGATCCTTGGACCACACTTGATGGTGTATAAATTAACATTTATATTTAAACTCGAATGTCTAAGACTGTGCAGTTACACCGGCAACCATTTTGTCAATTTTTTCCTGATTTCGAATAACATTGCACTTGCTGGCTGCAATCATGTCTAGTTGAGAAGTAATGTTCCGGTCTAATTCTTCTAATTCTGCTTGTAACGGTTCGATGGTTTTGGTAGTGATACTGTAAAAAGAGTTGTTACATTTGGGTTAACATTATTTTATATCCAACAATAAAGAAAAAAGTAAATTGTAAATCATGTATTAAGCAAAAGCTTTTCATTCAGCCCCCAGACAATGTAGGTAACCAACTAATCAATCTAGAATCAGATGCACAGACATGGAATGGTAACCGGACGAGAGACCGTGGTTCGCCATATGGTTAAGCTGTCTTATCGTCTTTCCTCTCCCCGAAAAAAAAGGAAAATCCTGTAACCTGTGACAACGAGGACCAATCCTCTTGCACAAAATCATTTCACTGAAGTTGCACCGATGCAGGGTAATTGGAAGGTGCTGTTTTTTTGTGTGGAAACATTATGAGAAACCTCTATTTGCAGATGGATCTCACTTTCTGTTCATGTTTCAAAAATTTCTAGTATCAACTGCTTGCCCAGCCCAAGAATTTTTTTGAAAAAGTACTAATCTCACAGGCTCGATGTGATATATCGCTTCACTTTCAATTTCTTCTCATAAACTGATTTTTTAATATAGATTTATCAATAGCCAATAGATCAATCAATAGCTTACTATGATAATATTCCCAAATTGAATATTGGCATATCTCTGACTAAATTGACAAAATAAAACCAAATGGAAATATTACTTAAAAACATTATACAAAGATTACCTTTCTTCTTCTTTAAGTTTAGCAGCATGTTGTTTATTTTCTTTTTTCCATTGAATTAATTCATTCTGCATTGAATCCATGTCTTCCTGTTAAAACAAAAATATGGTTGTAAAAGATTTTATCCCGTTTTATTTTTATTTTACGTCCTTTCAACATTTCCATGGGAATCGAGAATAGGGAACTATTGAAAACTAAAAGAAAACAAGCCATATTCAAACTCTTTTACTTACTTGAATATAGTCAATAATTTTTCCGAGCGGTACAGCGCTCCTGCACAACTTTTGTACAGATCCTCTCAATTTTTCAATGTCACGCATCACTAGTTCTCTCTCTTTCCTGCGCTGAACCTCGTTAACAGGTGATCTCTCCTATTGTTGAAAATGAAAAAAAAAAGTCATCGATCATAAACCGAACAAATACAAAAAATAATTGTTGTGGCCGCAATGTGTCCGAATTAGTAATATGTTTGCTATTGTATCACTGATCATCACGCATGAGGATCATGTCGCAGGGTCGAAGCTGGAGCTGTGTAATTTTGTAGGAAATGTAGCCAAGCTACCGTATTTGATGGAGCCAGTGCTGCCGGTAATTTTTTTTTAACTATTTAATTTTTCATATTAATTTAAAAGTTTAATTTTTGAATTTTACAACATTTTTGTTTTATGCTCGTGCTCATATCAAAAAGGAGAAGCCCAGCTCAGTAGTAACAACACAAGGCGTCGAAGTGTGAGCCACAGTAGGATATACAGCATGCCACCCACATTTCTGCGTTTAGTACAACAAACTGGTAAATTAACTATTCCTATATCTGACATAAACTTGAGAGTCGGACAAAAGACTGATGTGATAATGTAGTCCCATCAGGTTTTCTTTTCCCACAATAAATGTGAAAAAACCTCTCAAGCTTGAAAAAATTATCCAGGATATTTCGATACGTGGTTTCGAATCAGTGCTTAGGGTTGTGGTTAGAAACTGAATTCTATGAGAATGAGATCACAATAAGTAAGTGAGATTGAATCGAAAAGCCATATTTGAAAATCAAAAATTCTAGGCGTGAATATTCAAAACAACTTCAACGCAATTTGTTAACTCACAATTTCCGTTTTTCTCTTTGCATTGGTTCCTTTTGCAGCTGATGTTTCAAGTTCTTTCTTTGTCTCTAGAATTTTCCTGACGAGACCTCCATGCTCTCCTTCTTCATCTACATCACCGTTCACATTTCCATTCAGCATCGGAGACAACTAAAAATAAAAATTTAACATTATATGAGTTCTGAGTCGAATATAAGCGCAAAGTGACTATGAGATAATTAAGAATCATATCTCGACTGACATAAGAACGACAACTTGAAGATTTCAGTTCAAATTAAAAAATTTTGGTACCTCCTGAAGTATGCGCACCCAGATGGGGCACAACCTGAACTCAAGTTGTGTACCAGGTCAGGGTTCAGGTTGTGCGATAACTTGGTGCGCATACTTCAGGAGTACTTTGAGTATGAAACCCGCAGTTGATTCATCGGAATTAACAAAACTCTGATTACCCTGTGGAGGTTTGGACCCTGAGGGGATAATTATGTGCGAAAGGGTTGCTGGACTCCTTGTTATCTTATAGTGGTTCGTATAACCGCTGGTCGAATATGGCTTCCTCCACCATCAAGTCTATGCATCTGAGACACAAAACCGATTACCTATTAGAATACCCGACATGGACTTGTAACCAGACAATAGACAGCGACCTTCCATATGATTAAGTCGCCATATTGATTTCCTTTCATCCCCTGTCCATATGAAAATGATTGAATATTTTCACGTATAATTGATTTAATATTAACAAGAATTAGAGAAATGAAATCAAATGACAAAATTTTAATCGAAAGTAATTTTATATGTTAATGAAATCTTATAGAATTTTCATGTTTGTTTCTGGTAAGAGAAAAGCCGATGAGACGATGTTGGTTCTTGTTCAGCTATCTCACCCATTTCTGTTTTTGGTATAGCAAAACGGTTATTTTTTTCATATACATGGACTCATTGGTGGAGGAAGCCGTAACTGAATGTACATGAACCACCCTGGTCAGCGAGGAGTCCAGCAATCCTCTCGCAAATATTTATCCCAGGCTGGATTCGAACCTGTGAACCCTAACACAAGCTATACAAATATAAAATCCACCTTTCCCATCTCCGGTGGTTGAACATCTTCTTCTTGTACCAGAAATTGTTCATCTTCATCTTCGCTGGAGGACATTCCTTTACCTGCAGGACGACTTCCTCGATCTACAATAATGGGAGCAGTTCTTTGTCGACCTGCACTTTCCATTCTAGGAAAAAAAGGGTGATAATGATGTCATATCTGGAATTTCATCTACAAATCTTTTTTGTAAATTGCTGTCAATAATGTAAAAGAAGCAATTAGTGTACTACATAGCAGTGTTAGGTAGTGTAAGTCCATAAACCAAAGGTTGCGACTTGCGAGTCAAGTAGAGTCACGAGGTATCAGTGTCCCAAGTCAATTAAATCACTGAGTTAGTTATCATGGTTAGTTGAATATGGGTATGAGTAGGTTCATTTAATGACTCGATTCATTTTGAGTATTGGATAAATAGTGACACTGCCACATATGCCCAAGTGCATTCCATAAAGAATTCTACTCAAATTATTAAAGGAATGTTGGGACAGTCGAAGGTATCCTGTCGCTACAGAGAAGACTTAAGAGCTCGCCGTATATATCTATATGTGAATCTGATAGTCTTGACTGACCTCGCAATTTCTTCTTCTGCAGCATCAGGTCTCTGACGTACTCTTGGTGCAGCTGGTCTTGCACTCGGTGGTCGTGCTGGCCTTGAACGAGCTCTGAGAAAAACACACTCATCAGTTTATTGAATCCTATTATACCAGTTTATAAGAATAGAATGTATAACCATTATTAGGCCATATTATTAGACCATTTTAGTTTGAAAAATGTTAGCCCGTTCGAATAAATCCATTTAATACACAACATGCTATATTAGAAATTTCGGTGCTACGGAAATATGTGTACCAATATGGAGGTAACTAATTTTGTTTGCCTATTTTACATCAATTTGTGTAAAGGGACTGAAACCTATGGGCAGGGGGTATATTCACTTGGCTAACACAGACAGTCCCGGACTCCTAATAGAGCTAAAATCAGAAAAAAAATATGACCTAACCATAACCTGGTAAACATACTACGGGAGTACCAAAATTTCTACTTGGATTGATAAGCTGCTGAAGAACAAATATTATCAAAAGGTTTTTTAAAGAAATTTGCTCAAAACAAGGTCACACACACTCACCCAAATATCAAGTACGGGAGCTAATCAAATGAAATGACTCGAAAATCTTTTGAATGGAATATACCTGTTTATTAATATGAATAACACTTTGTGTTACCCTGCAGTATAATATATATGCTTACCTATCACTAGGACTCGAATCTTGTCCCTCTACTGGTGCACCGCCTGTAATGTGTAAATACAATATATAGGATAGGATTTACATGTTTATCCTGGGGGAGAGGAAAGGCATTATGACGAATAAATCATATGGCGAGCCACAGCCTCTGTTCTAGTTACCAGTATTTTTTCGGAAGCATTGACTTGATGGTGGAGGAAGCCGTAACCGACCAGCGGTTACATGAACCACCCTACGGCCACAAGGAGTCCAGTAATCCGTTCGCACATGATCATACCCGCATGGGATTCGAACCTGCGAACCTACGTGGGGTAATCAGGGATGCGTTGGCGAGCATATTCCTAACGCTTGGCACGATGCACCACACCGGCAAGCCAAGTTAGTTTAATGAAGAAAAAAACACTAAATATGAAGATAAAGAAAAACTGGTTACGTGATCCTCTATCAGGTGCTGGTCTTCTTCTGTGTCCTTTTGCAGACGCAGGACGAGGTGGACGACTAGATGCAGGTTTTTCATTTGATTCTGCTTGTTCCTCTTGATTATCAGGGGCTTGGGGTCTTTCCTGAAAACATTAGAGAAGTGGTTTTTAACCTTTTAGGTGGAGCGGAATACGAATGAACATTCCAGAGACTCACGGAACCCCTAGGTAATACTTTTATTGTCTGGTTTGTATAAATTATATATATATAAAGCAAAACCCGATGCTAGCAAAACAAAAAGATCTTTAAAGTGTAGAAAGTTGGGGCCATGTTCACAACACAACGTAAATACTTCTAGTTGGCATGGCACAACCATTTTTGCATATGTTACTCCTAACCCTCACCTGACTATGTCATTCAAAAATTACGTCACTACGACGTAACAGTAACGTAATAGGGCCCTCCGAGCTATTCTAACTGTCATCCAAGACACACAGATGATCAGATCACCCAAAATCGAGCAAGTCATTTATCTCATTTTTTAGTCATAACGATCCCGATATGAGAGAGATCGCTGGCATTAATGAGTTTGTTATCGTTGGAGAAGATGCCATTTCGAGCGATCGTAGCTATCATTGGCGTGATTGTGAGGTCGTAGTCACATATTTTTTGGATGGCGGAGTCAGGTGGGGGTTAGGAATAACATATGTAAAAATGGTTGTGCCACGCCAAATAGAAGTACTTACGTCGTTTGGTGAACATGCGCCGAAAGTTGAATAATAGTGGCAAACCTACGGTAATAGATGTTTGACTATAGCTAAAAAATATACCTATATTAAACTAAACTCTCAGATTTAAATAAAAATTTGCAGAACCCGTGGACTATGCTGGCAAAACTTGCAATGGCACCCAGTTGAAAACCATTGCATTAGAGTAAAAGGAAAAAATTTGTCAAATGTCAGAACTAAGTCAATAGTTGTTCTATGATCACCATCTTCTGGTTGCTTCTGAATTCTGGTTTAATTTGATAATTCAGTCTTTCAAATTAATATGAAATCTTATCTATTTATGGATATATAACCACATTACTATGTCGCCCATTTCAAGTCAGATCTGGGATATACATCTAGATATAAGTTTTTGTTCAACACTAAGAATACATTTCATATCACTTATTAGAAAATATTGTTTTTAGAATTTATTCCGAAAAATACAATATTCCACCACTACAAAAATACCAAAGATGTAGATAAAGAAGATTCAGGGGCTTAATCAAACCCCATGATAACAAATTTTACCTTTGTATATTATCAACTATACATCCCAACAGTGGAGGGAATTAGAAAGTTTTGAGAAGAAAATTTTACTCTGTATTTCCATGTCATATTACTAATATTTTACTTACTTATTGTAATACACATATAATATAAGCATACATTATAAATTAATTAAGTTGTACAATAGCCTTAATACAAGTTGCACGGATCGCCAGCAAATGTTTCATTAAAGAATGGATAACAAATGCAAGTAGGTTTTCATGGGTAAAGTATATGAGGATTATGAACCAAAAAATAGGCCAAGGGAGAAATGTGTCAAAAAGGTTGCGAACCCTTAAACTATACCTACCTCTTCACCATCTATCTCTCTCTCCCTTCCTTCAGATTCCATTTCATTTCGTTCAACATCTTCTTCTCTCCTCTTTAATAAACAAAGAATAAATTCACAATAACAAATTTCGGAAAATAGTGACAAATTATACACACCTATGAGATGATGTTCCATTATTGAATATGAATTAAATAAGAATATAGCGTATGGAGAGTTATGTGCAAAAAGATCACAAGCTCGAGTAATGGCTTGTGTATTTCATTCATATGGTATTCATTTAGTTTTGCATTCATCAGAAGACAAACCTGGGTGCTCCAGAAGTGTGGGCACCAATATGGAGGTAACAAATTTTGTTCGCCTACTTTACATCAAGTTGTGTAACCTGGTACACCTACTACAGGAGTACAAAATTTGATTGAGATTGACATGGTCATGCAAGCATTTTGTCATCTGCATCAGTTAAAACGCAATGTAATTCTCGAACAATATTCCAAGCTTCATAAATCCCAGAAACATGTAAGCATTATGGTTCAAACAGGTTAAATGGAAATATAAAATGAAGCATAATGCAAAGCATGCTTTATTCATGCCCCATACTCGATATGCAACAAGTATTACTATTTAGGTATACACCACCATTATCTCTTTATCCAACATGACAAAATAATACAACACAGAACTAGCAAAGATAAGGATCATGACTTTTACTGAATTCTAAAATCCTCCTACGACTAGTAAATTCTGATCTTTTCTATGTAACTCGATCTGATATATATAAAAGATGATTCTCCTTTACCTCCTACACCACTAGCTGCATAAATAGCCAAATCTCTCACTCTGGTATTCGCAAAAGTATTGGTCGTCGTAAAAAATCATGTTTCTGACTGGAAATCTACATGTTTGATATACCGGTAATAACTATCCTGCAAGCTTTTTGGAATACTGATTTATACAATCTTCAAGTCAAAAATCATGAATAAAAATAACATTATTATAGGAATATTATATCAAAAGAATAGTTAAAGGTACTTCCATGCAATATAGAACATTTTGATTATAACAATATGACGTTTCCCAGCCAAAATTATCAGCAACACCTCACCATGTACCTACCAATGCATTATTGTAATATGACAAAACCCATTTTCACAGGGTAAATCGGTATTTTTCTATTTTAAAAATATTCCTTTATCCAAGAAATGTTTTTTAATTTAAAAGAAATCCAGTTCATTAAATTTCCATGTGTATAGCAAATCCCAATTTCTTTTATGCTCAAACTAAGATCTTGTGCACTCACTCAGAAATAGAGGGTAAGTGAAGCTACGGACGACCGCCAGGTGCTAAGATCTACTGAGAGTATAATATAAATTAAAATAAAAATTTCGCAGGATGAAATTAAATTTTTTTTTTTAATTTCTTTTGGTTTATGTGTTACCAAGTCTGAGCCGATAATGAGACTTACTGACTAGGGAGTGGTCATCTATGTTTGATAGAACAATTCTAAATGCAACACCATTATTACCCAACCATGCATGATTCATGTTATATCACCATAGGATGTTAATCGACCACCATACATAAATATACATGCATGGAAAATTAACAATTTTTTTTATTTACGGATAACGATTTTTTGCGGCGACTTTTCTCATTGCGGGATTCCTCTGTATCAGATTTTTTTCTTCTAAGCGATGATCTTGAAGATTTCGTTTCCTTGTTTGGAACTCTCTGAAGATTTTTCGTTGGTGACTTTTGTTCCTGATTTTTTTTAGGGCTACCTTTTTGTATCGGCTTTATTTTAGTCTTGGATTCCTAAAATTCACAAATTTTAAGATAAAATAAAAAGATAAATTTAAAATAAAATTCAGTAAAAATCCTTCAACATGACAATCTACAACTGACCAAGGGCGGTTCTGGCCTGTGTTATTCAAAGAAATACATATTTAAACTAAACTAAAAAACCACACTGGCATATCAACTAGATTTAACTGTAGAATAGCTGCCTGCACTCAACATCTAACTTTTCTCATGTACGCTATTCAATGTTTATTTAATGATAATATGATTCTCTTCTGAAATATATCTCATAATTTCGTCCATTCTGAATTTAAGAAAATAATTAAAAAATAAATATTGAACAATATGACTATGAGAAAAAAATCTAAAAAAATATCAAATTGAAAGAAAATTTATCACATGGAATCAAAATATATTAATTGTGTAATATTTTAAAAATCAACAGGACTGGGTAGGACAAATTAATTATGTCTTGATTTTCTGTCAAAACAATATAAGTAAAGATTTCTTGTTAATTTATTACAGGGTCACACCCCCCTCCCTTTAAAAAAAAAGAACCCCGGTGATTTGGAAATATTCTACAAAGAACATAACTTTTGTACAAAGGCTCTTAGATTAATGGAGCTTTTGGGTACAATCATACACAAACAGAAGATCAAGTGCTAAATAAGAATAAAAAAATATCACTTTTGTACAAGTAATTAAGAAATTTATGGGTTTATTTGGGTCACCCTTTATCGGTAATCTTTTCACTTATATATGAGGGCAAATTAAAATTTTGACTCAAGTAATAAACACAAAAAATACATTGTGTATACCGACCTTTCTCTCTCTTCGGTCTCTAGATCGTTCTTCTTTATGACGATCTTTATCTCGAGATTTATCTCTGCTACGTACGCTCTCTTTTTCTTCATTTCCTTCGCCTATTGATAAATAGCATGAAAATAAGAAAAATTGGTAAACTGTAATCCACTATTCAAGTTCATCCATACGAAACAAAAAAACTTGATAACTGCTCCAATATAATCAAAGTAGACTTGAAACTGCATGAGAGTTTAAAAGTTGCACTAAATGATTAGGCCGAAAGCGTAGCATCCCCAAAATCTTTTTTGTGAAAAGGAGGGCATTTTTGTTAAATAGGACATAATTGACGCTTACTTGCACGCAATTTTATCTCTTTTAATTGGTTTATTTGAAAGAAGGATTGATAGTGGGCCAAGAAACGCCGAATTTTCGGTGAAACGCTCATGAAATACAATAAAATAGTGCCAAAAAAGGCATACGACATCAAATGCTGCAAAATCACTTTTCAAAGATTCACCTATATATTAAGCTGTCATATTACCTCTCCTCTTATGAAAAATAAAGGGCCTGCCTACCTATCCTAAATTTGAATATATCATTAAAAACTATAGAACTGGATGTGCATTCAACCAAATATTAGAATGACTTGAAGCCTGTTTTCAGGTAATCACTGCTGAAATAGAACTCCATGTGGAAAAAAATAATATTTTGCAAAGAATTCTTTAATAAGTAAGAAGAGAGCATTATCTTCTTATTTCAGTTGCAATAGCATATTCAGAAAGATAGCTAATGTTTGGGCTATTCGAGGCTGGAAACAAAGATTTCCAATTGCAAAACAAAATCTCCGTACCCGCACCTTGTTCCTTGTTTGACTCCTTGTCTCTACTTCGTTCTCTTCTTTCTTTTCCAGCTGATCTCTTACGTCGATCGCTACTTTTTTCTCTTTCAGGCTTTGATTAGAATTGTGGAAAATATTTAAAATGAAAGTCGATCATGAGTATTAACAAGTATCCAAGACAACAGTAAAATGAGCCATATTTTATTAGTTTCCTATCATAATATAACACTGTTTCGTTTCCATTTTAGCTCCGTCATTTGAGCGTGACCCCCACCATAGAGGACTGCTGCGGAGCAAAAACAGATCATTCCACAAATGATGCAGGGTTTTCAATTGCACGCTGTAGTGCCCCAATGGCCCCAATGGCACTTACCTCCGGGGTAAATATGTAAATCGTAAAACTTGGAATAACCACTAGCGTGAAGGTGCGAGCAATCAAATGCTTAGCTAATCCCTACTTCCACTGAATTCATATCAGTTGTATCATGCTTTCTCTTGCTGCTAACGAGATGATAAATTAGGGCAGGGCTACTCAACTATTTTTACCGAAGGTCCGCAAACAAAACTCTTCAAAATTATTTGGGTCCGGTCTTTCCAGAAATTATATATCGGCATCCTTATTAAACGCGCACTTCCTCGGCAGACTAATGATTACTAGCAAATAAGATTGTTTAATATGTATTATAGTTCTTTTCATATATATTCAAAACCACGAAAGTCATTTTATAATAGGAAATTCAAAAAGCGGGGCTAATGATCCAAAATAAATAATTACCGGTAGGTGCGGTCCAAATCCAATACTCGAAAGGTCCGGATTCGGACCCCGGTCTGCCAGTTGAGTAGCCCTGAATTAGGGTCCTAAATTTGTCATGGATATTGAATAAAGATCAATGAAGTATGGGTCTTACCTTTTCATCTCTATCTTTCTTCTTCCTTCTTTGTTCATCTGGTCTTTCCCTGGAATGAATTTGACCATTTAAATCTTCAAATCATAATTTCTTATGTCAGAACAGAATTTTTTTTCTTGAAGATGTAACTAGAGATAGCTCGCTAAGTTTGAAACTTTTCAAATTTAAACTCAATCAATATCATAGTCTTAAAATGCTTAATAAATTTTTTTTTATATATGACACTTTTTTCATGTCTTCATGCTTTGGGCCCACGCTCGCTTGAGTGCAGAGACAAGTTTATCAGATGTGTGAGGCGATAAGTATATTAATATACATCTCAACCTTACATGTCGAATAAAATGGGTGAAATATTATTATAATATTAGTGAACCAGCTCGTGTTTGTCAACTATCGCAGCAACTCGCTTGGAAAAGAAATGCATGGACGACAAGGAACAAAGAAATAAGTTGAATAATAGATTTTGAAGTTGTAAAAATAGATTTTTTAGGGAATTATCCGGCATCCGATGCATATAGGTTTTTTACCAGGATATACATTTTCGAAATCAAGGATTGTGTTGAAATTTTACCAGTTAATTTGCGGATTTCATTAATTATAATAACGAAATACTTTAATCACAGAGATTGAGACTTGTCTTTTGTGGCATCTCGTCGAAACGCCTCCAAACCATTTAGTTTAAAGCAGTGGTTTCCAGCCTTTTTAGGGCTCGTGGCCTCATTCCGGAGGATTTTGGCACTCATGGCCCCCCTGTTTTTCATTATAATAGTATTTATAGCGTTATTTTTATTGGTAGATTCCAAATCCCATAAGGTTCAAACATTTCATGCTCAATGAAGTAAAAACACCCTGTGAATAACCCAAAGCAATGAAACTGGGACGACCGGGAAGCTTTCTTATTGTAAAGAGAAATATAGAATCAGTTTTGCGCCTAGCATTGTGGCCCCCCCTCCAACTGCTCTGGGTCCCCGGTTGGGAACTGCTAGTTTGAAGCGTGTTTACAAAATTCGAGTATTTAAAGGTCCAGCTGCCACTGTTTTAAGAATTGTCACAAAAAAACAAAAGCTTAAATTCATTTTAATAATAACCTGTTTTCTTTTCCTTCTTTCTTTTTTGAAGATCCAGTGGGAGGTTTCTCTTGAACTTTTGATGATGTTTTCTTACCAGTGAGGACTTGTTGAACTGCATCATCTGATGAAACCTATATTAAATTTTGAACAAAATATTCAATTTTTTTTTCTAAAACAAGATTCTAGTCAAAAAAACAAGCGAATACACAAAAATATCAGAAAAATTAGCCTTAGAACATAGTTAGTATGAGTTGCTGTGGATTTCAAATAAAAAGTTGTGGCTTATGAGAATGACATCATTTTTTCCCAAAATAGCAAGTATATCAGGGAGGTTTTGTTAGATGACAATACTTTATGTATTACTCACTGTTTAATTAACTTATGTCTTGTTTTGTCTGAAAAAGTTAGGGACTATAATTTAATGAAAGCTCCCAAATATGCTTGCTATTGCATGGGAAGAGATTATGATATTCTTATTTATCTTTTAATACTATCTCGTTCAAGCATCCTTGTGGCAACGACCACTTCATATGAATCTGAAGTAGGCAGTGAGAACGGACCTGCAGTCCATTACACAATTCCCTACTACCCCTAATCAGTTATGTTTAAAATCATGTTTCCTACAATTAGCACTTAGTAGTAAATTAAATTTCAATTAGGTACTAGCAATCAACAACATACATTTTTATGAATACATTTAGCAATTGCTTGAAGTAATTCGTTAGTTTTCTCAGGTTCATGTCCTGCGACGATTTTTGATGGTCTAGCAGCTAATTGATCACCAGATACTATTGACACAACGTCGATAACTTTTTGAAGAAATGCCATTTTATCTTCTTTTGCCTAAACAAAGAAGAAACTGCTAGTGAAAAGTGTCCATGCATCTGTATGGAGTAAATAACATAACTATCTAAAAACTGAAGGGTAAAAGGATGAGAAGACTTGGATGGCCATGCATGGGTTATTAATGGCAACAGTGTTTTCCAATCGAGGTGAAATTTTACCCCAAAGAAAAAAATTTATGTTTTACCTGAGGAAATTTTTCTCCATAGTATTACTAATATCTTTTACTTGTGTGATATTATTATAATACATATTTTTGCCTACATTATAAACTATTCAAATAAAGCATACAAAACCCAGAGTGCAAGTTATGCATATCACTAGTTTATAATCCATTATTGATTAAAGAACAACCGAAAACAGAACTCTGACACATGTTGGGGAAATGAGCCAAGGGGAGAATGTATCAAAAAAATTGGGTACCACTGGAAGATATTTTCTTGCCCTGAACGATTACAAAAATTTGAAGGCCGGAAAAGTCTCTCGCTTTCCATGTATAGGATCCCCAACAAAATAAAAATTAAAAATTTTTTGATTAAAATTCAGAATAAGGCCTTATTTCTTTGCTTAACAGAGAGTGGCTTATTCACGGCAAGATGGTTTATCTAAACTAATAATTACTGTTTTTATTCCCATCATTTATGATGAATGCGATAAAAAATTAAATTATATCTGACTAAACAACTTACAGACACATTCTTAGAATCCATCTCTGATGAAGTAAACAGTCCATTTAAAAATCCTGTTGTTCTGATCACCTAGAAAGTTTGCATATTTGTTATAACAATAATCAACAGTACATTATTAGATATCAGCTAGTGCAAACAAGACGGCGCTCCAGAAGTGTGTGTACCAATATTGAGGTAACTAATTTTGTTCGCCTACTCTACATCAAGTTGTGTGGAGGGACTGAAACCTATGGGGAGGGCCCGAACTCGTTACTGAACTAACATGAGGGAAAATCGGAATAAAATTATGGCCGAACCCTAACCTGGTACACACACTAATTTAAATTGTTATCATTCTGTCTTTATGACTGTATTTAGATCAAAAATCATATTAGTCTTAAATACAGCTGAGCAGTAAAATGTGAGAATTTTTTACAAAAACTGTCATTTTCAAAACCCACTATCGAATACCCTGAACAAATCAAATGGGTTATGGACAAATATGATAAAAAATCATAATATTTTGTAAAAGTATTTTCGTTTTTTCCTTTGTGGTACTAATTGAGTAAATTATCACATTCACCATTAACAGCTTTTTTCTATTTTAAACCCAAAATATTGATGATGTTTGGCAATTATTATTTGGAATTGCCAACTATTTCATATATTGATTGATATGCCAATCCTCGCTTTTAAAGGATAGTACGTTCTTAATTTGAGAGGCAAATAATTTTCATCGAAAGTCACACCATCAAGATCGTAATTTTGAGATATAACTTATTCAAAAACATTTTCATACAAACCTCTGTGAATATATCATGTAGAAATCGAAACGGTGGTTTTGAAAGCAACTTGTCCGTCAGTGGAGGTTTTTTAATAATCTTTCCGAGAGTATCTCTCGTCTTTTTCATTATTTCTTCTCCCATTTTGAGTATGATTATTCAAATTTAGTAATATTGCTCAAAATCTTTAATAAAAAAGATGTATATTGGTATATAAAGTGTATTGTATTTACAAATTTCGAAACTTACCAATTTCAGAATTTTCATGAAATTTGTTTAGAATGTTCACCAAATTGTAAAAATAATAAAGCCAGACAACTACAGAACTAAGTAAGAAACTAAATGCTGAAATGCCAGTGATATTGTTGTACTGTAAAGTCGACTACCGGCACCAGTACATTAACAAAAAAGCAAAGTTCTGATTCCTGAAGTCAGAAAGATAAGGTCTGGAAATACCAGTACTGCAGTAAGAGTGCACTAAGATTATAAATGCTTTATCTCAGATCAGAATTATGAGGCAATGTGAAAACAGAATTAGATACCGGTACTACCTGTGTTAAAAACGAACACTTTGTTAAGCTCCAACTAGTGCACCTCCTCCTACATTTCAAGTAATTAATAAGGCCCGAAAACAAAAAAAAGCAAACCCTGTTTTCCTTTATGTCTGTCCCAAATGTGATTTTATTTGGGTTACGGTGTAAATCAAGCTGTTGTTATGTGCGTTTAGGTCACCGCTTCGAGGCGCTCTTGAGGTTTTATCATAATTGATAAATATTTGGCGGCCATGGTGTATTCCTTCCCTTCGTAGGCTTAAATTGTATACGTATGAGTAAAAGTTTATTTCGACTTCATAATCAGCAATAGACGATAAAACAAGAGAGCTATGCTCAAATATATGGACACGTAGCGCCACCCAGTGGCAATAATTTTGATGACGTCATAGCGAAAAAAAGTAATAGCCTCCTGGAGAAAAATTTTATCTTTAACCACTGAAAATTTCAAAGCAATTGGTCCAGTATTCGAAAAGAAAAGCGATTTTTTAAAAATGGAGACGGAGACAAATAACAATAACAATAACAACAAAATTTTGAAACGATCGTTATGTCTATTTCGTGTCCAATAACAACAAAATTTTGAAACGATCGTTATGGCCACTAAACGTGTCCAACAATTGATAAAAACAAAATAAATGAAACTGATTATAGGGTCGGAAAAGCAAACGAAACTTCAAGCAAGGTTCAAAGCGTACATATTTTAGTTGGGGAGGTATTGATAAAATAAGTAGTACGTCTTCGCTCACCCACAAGTATCAAAACTAATTAACGCACGCACACACACACACACAAACATACAATCATCGAGACATGATAAGGTCGGGAGTGAAAAAAGCGAGACATAAAATCAATTACTCAGTAAGAAGAAAATATGCAAACAAATAAAAAAAAATGAATAAATTCTTTCCCCACACCAAATAATAATTTCATGAGGATTGCCGAATTGAATACCGAATTAGTCAGAAAGAGTTATATACTGTGGATAGAAAAATATTCCTCAAAAGATATCGTCAAGCTGATTATAATTAGCGTCACCTAATTCCAAATTGCCCAATCAGAATTACCAAGTTGGATGCATGAAGAGGTGGGCTAGACCTGCTTCACTCACCAGCCAAAACTAACCAAATTAACGTCCAAATTATTTTAAATAATAATAATCAATGAAAGTACCGGTAATTATAATTACAATTAATTAGGGCGGTATGATAAAGAGGTAGGAAACTGGGATACGGGAATATATAGGATATATATTAAATGTTCAAGTGAGGTTTCTAAAGTCATGGATTGTAAACAAGCAAATTTAATTGAGGTTGTTGATCACTACGGTCAGTTCAAATTTTTCAAATTTTATGTTGAATTAGCTAGCTTTTAAATTGATCATCATGACGTCCTAAAAACAAAAAAAAAATTATCTACGAGTACAATATTCAATAATTGCAAATAAGGAATCAATAGAAAATTACTCTATACTTTCGAGAGGAAGTTGTTGATGTGTGTAAATATTGATCAATTACTTAACTATCATTAAACTGCCAGTTGGAAGACCTGAGGAAGAGGAGATTGTAGATGGGACACAGAAGAAATTGTTCACAAACCAATTGAATTTCTTATTTCTCTAATAACAGAAAAGTCTTATACAATACTTCTATTCATACATGTGTCGGCATCAGAACTATTTGCAGATCCCTATTATGCAAACTGTTTTGCTTCGTGATGGGAACATTCGAGTTACAGTATTGCCAATATTACCATTTTCATAGAACATGCTGACTCGTAGAGGAGATGCCATGTGAGAGTTAAAACATAACAAATGCACATTTTAAGACATCATGCGACATGATTCATTTCGTCGTGTACTTTTTGTATTACTTTTATCCACAATTTTTATGAGACTTCTGATGCTATATTCCACACTCTCTAAGTTGTTATAGAATCGAATTACGGTTCCAATGCATGTATGACCATATTGCATGTATGACCATATTGCATATTTATCACATCAAATTATATTGAATTTTTGTTCAGCCTTGAATCACTCATAATTATTTAGTCTGCAATTTGTGTGACATTTTCACGCCCATTACACAAATACAATACAATTGCAATATTGTCTGTTATCTAATTCTAGAAGACATTTGATACTATCAATCATGCATTGTTCTCCGTAATTGATTACAATAATAACTATACTATACTATCTATCCCAATGTTTCAGAAAATATTTTCCATATATTCGGGTTATAGGCTGTTTAGGTTCTGAAGAATTCAAATTAGATTGATATCTATACTATATATAAAACGACTATTTACAATACATTGGTACACAGCGACATATATCTTGGAAATCTCGGTTCTCTGGGGATCAGATGTCTGAATAAAACATCAATAATTCTAGGTGTAATTCTCGATTATGAAAAAATCCTATCGACTAGAATTCCACTGTAAGAAAGGCAGGACTATACAGTGTGAGCTGTAAATTCCAGATTATCTAGGTTTATTTTGAATTAGACAAAAATATGACTTCATCAATTTGTTTAAGACATTGTGCCAATGGGACAAGAATAACTAAAATCTTTCATTCGCTTATTATACTCAGTCATATCTAATACTGTGGCTCATTGTAACTTCATTGTCAACAAAAATTGCGCACCTTGTGGCGATTGCGTTAGTCTTGAACATAGCTATACCAGTAGTCAACTTCGACAGATTGCAAACCCGTACCACTTCGTTTCGGCTTTCGTGTTCATATATTTGAGCATCGCTCTCTTGTTTATAAAAGGGATGAAGTAGCTTTGAAAATTGCTCTTGAAAAGCCGCCCCCTGATTACCATCATATTTGATCACCACATTGTTTTAAGAATACATCGTTGAAATTGGACAACTCTGTTGATGAAACATTGTCAGTCAATCCTAAAGGATGTTTCCCGTCTTGCTTGTTCACTTCCGTAAATTTGGTTAATCAGTAAGATGCGAAAGTGCGTAACAATAGACGTTTTAGAAGTCGCTCAGACACTTTTGTCAGTCAGACAGATTTTCAGGCATGGTTGTAAATATGAATTACAGTACCTTGTTTTTGTGTTTTTGCATGCTATTTGTTGATTTTTAGTTGTGTTTTGTAAATTTAAGCATGATTTAAAATAAATCAATTGTCATTTTGTCTTCGTAGATTTACAGCTATCAAAACATAGTTTAGAAATAGCTGTGTAAGACTAGGCTACACTTTTCTATCGATACTTTCAAATGACATGTTGTTAAATGTTTTGAATCAAGTTGAAACATATAAACCAGTTTAAAAGGGCCAACTCGCGTTTCCACTCTTAAGATAAGCACAAAAATTGTGCAATGGTGAAGTGAAGGAATTTTTTCCGGAGGGCAAAGGTCGGGGAACATCCATTGCTTCGAATGAGGCCAAATTGGAAACATCGCATACCGTTGTCTGTAATCATGCTTTCATCCTTATTTTAAAATTGTCGTACATCGCCTCTATGTGAGTTACTGGATGAAAGTATATTTACTTTTTTTATTTTTCCGAAAGGGGTGTAATAGCGAACCATATTTTCCATTGCAATGCTCAATTGCAACACTCACCGATGTTAGATTACTTTTTTTTGTTAGTATGGTATCATATATGATTCGTTTCCCCTCGGTTACCTCATTAGCACTGTTAGCACAATGATTTCCAGTATTATTTAGGTTGTCAAGTGGAGCCATGCCCTTTGTTGCCACATATCTGATGGTGGAACAGTTTCATATCTGCCAAAGGTCATTTATTCGCCTTTCTGCACTTATTCGATTGATTCCTGAATTAAGTAGGCCTCTTCAAATAAATTAGTAAAATTTGGTATAAAATAGTGGACCTCTGAAAGCATAGATGATATTTAAAAGCATAGCTTTTTAGAAGATTTTGTTATCATTAAATACTAAAAAAACTTGTAAGCGATCGTTATTATAATTATTGTTATAATTTATATTATATAAAAATTGAACAGAGAGTCAATTGCAAAATATTTCACAGTGTAATCAAAAATAGACACTATTCTCCAAAACTTCAGAAGTTTATTGATGGGTATTTATGAATGTATTTTCTATGATGAAAAATGGCGGGACTGGGATATTGGTCAGTGTTATTAAGAACAAGAGAGCAATGATCAAATATATGAACACGAAGACCAAAACGAAATATTTTACTCACAATTTCCCCCAAAATCATACTCTGGACGAAGCTGAACCCATCAGAACTTACGTGCTCTGACTGCTCTGGATTTACTAGGTCCTGTGACAACGTGCATTGAAATGCTTCGGCTCACAACCGTAGTATTTATTAATTTGAAAGTACTTTAACTTTCTACTTACCGCACCTACCTACCGCTCACAACTGTAGAATTTATTAATTTAAAAGTACTTCAACTTTCTACTGACCGCACCTACCTACAGCGCTTCGCCGATATTGAAGAACTTGTGATTTTCGCGTCGCAAGAATAAAAAAAATCAGAAGCGCTTGGCGGGATTTAGGATGACATATCAGATACCATAGGATTCATAGAAAATTTAAGAATAAGTTGAAGTAACAGACTTCTAGCAAAAAATACATTGAATCCATTGAAAAGTTCGAAGCAATTGGTCCAGTAGGTAATGAGAAAAGCTGTTTTTACATTTGCTAACGACAAGAAGAAAAATCCTAACAACAACAACGTAATCACAAAACAATTTATGGGTAAACTTCAATATGAATAAATGTATGCAAAATTATGCATCTGCATTTGACGTCGTTGTATGGTTGTCATGGGAATTTGTGATCCGCTACCGGCAATAGCACATAAATTATTACTCTGAGTCTCATAAAAGTCAATATGTGAGTACGCTTCATTGAACTCTCGGATTGGAGACGGGGCGCGTTCATCAGAACAACAAAAAATTGTAAGTTTGCATTGGTCGATAACACGCGGGAGTCGATTACAGAGAGTTGTTTACGAAAAAACGAGAGAATATTAGAGCAAGGTTGATTTTCCATTTGATCAATAACATGATGAAAACATATTGATTGTCGACAACCATAATGATCCGGAATGTTCTGCACTCTTGGGTTAGATGCATTTATTTATTTTCTGGAGCAGATATGTGTGCAGATGATAGGTAATACTTGTCGAACTTGAGAATAAAAAGTAAAAGAATATAACTGATAATTTTTACAAGAAAAGAAAAAATGCTTAAATGAGATAATTGCGGGTCGTCTAATTGCCGAAAGTCGCTGGGCGTCGGGATTATTGGTTTTGTTTCCTATTCGTAAACAGGTGCGAGTCAGGTATGCAGGCCTATATAAAGTTTAACAAACGCTATACTTCATTCAATTCGAAAGAACGATATCGCAATCAGCTTAAAAATCTTATCGAGACAAAAAGACAAACAAACAATCTTAATACGTGTTATCTACGCATCGAAATCGAAAATTTATCGTAACTGCTACGCAAAAGCCATTGATGAGACAGACACACGTATACCTAGAGGGGAGTTACGCATGCCTGATACATAGTATTTATACAGAAGTTGTTACATATCATCAAGGATAAAAATAAATGCGAAACCGTTGACGAAATACTATCTGCACCATCAAAGTGAGAATGTCATCCGTATCCGCCTGTGATACGCATTAGCAACTTTATGTTATGTTGGATATGACACGAACATCTGTACTGGCAGACTTGTTGTCGACGAGATTTACTCGAAAAATAGAAGGCTATGTGGATAGACTTGTGGTGTACCTTATAGGAGGATGTGTTGGGAGAGTAAATAGAATTTTGCACTGACATGGAATTCTGACAGACATTGAAAACATGAACAATTTTGGACAGAAGTAAATCTATTAGAAGCATCGACAGCCGCATGGGAAATTATTTATCGTTTAGTTTAGAGTTAAACTGACGCTGGTATCACTTATAACAGGCACTTAAGTTCGTAAGAGTCAATAAAAAAGCTGAATGATAGAACAATTGTGAGTGTTGACAAAAGTCAGCATGGAATAATTTTTATGCGATATCAACGAGCAGTTATTCTAATGGATTTCCGGTTATTTTGGCATTGATTATGTGCGGGCGCGTGTCAGGACATTACTTTTGAAATTCAATCCCATGTTTAGAATACCGCAGGCGCCACTGAAGCACAAATTTATTTAAGATTATCGTGATTTTCCGTTGTTCTCCCGGCAGTAGGCTATTTGGTCAGTATTTGGACAGTAGGTTATTTGGTCAACTATGGGCTACTTCAGGGAATGGCTTTTGATTGGTGGATATCAAATATAAATAACAGAGTGTTATTATTTTATTCAAAATAATGATAGTGTACTTAAAATAATAACTGTAACAATCCGAGTGTCCTATTCATCATTAGTTTGAAGGGGCCATGAAACCCATGGCCGAGATTAGAATATGTTATTTTTGTTGGCTGAAGGCGAGGTTCCTCATCTCAGAAAAGATTGTTGTTTTCGACAGGTTAAGAAGCCGTGCGTACTTAACGACCAATATTATGTTTGTTTAAGGCCACAGGCAGCATTTTACTATTGGTTTAGTACAACCAGCTTCGATTTTTGTTTAAAGTTGTTTTTAAATATACATTCCAAGTTTAATAATATGCCCCAGTTAAATATTTAGTAGTTATTTTTGGTTTCTCGGGAAATAACAAACAATCAACAGCCGGAAAATGGTAAACAGGACAAATACGTGAGCAAGAAATTTTTTTGAAGCATAAATCAGCGAGCATGTTTTAAATAAATAATAAATAACTTGCTCTGTTGACCAAGTTCACGCCAACATAATTGATGTGTTAACTCATACGAGGTATTAGTATTGATTGTAAAATTTTCGGATATAACTTTGCCTCATATACAAGCGTATGGAAATAAAAACATTGGTATTTGTTGGATCTGTGATGAAACAAGTTTGCCCTGGGGATGAATAAGAACATTGGTCGATATCTGACTCATAAACGACAACACAATCTCTACTCTGCCGTGTCGACAAAAACACGTTGCTTGATCAATGTATCGTAACATGAGAAGGCTGGGGTGCTTTAACTGAAATGATTTATATGACAGCCGTAATGTAATTTAACGTACTAACTATACTAAGTTAGATGATCCCATTCTACTACGGCTAAGGCTAAACGTATAACAAATGAGCCCAAGTTTCCTAAATTGGCGTCTATTTCTGCGTAGAGAGCAGTTGTTTACCAGGCATTACAGGCACATCAGAGTTTATTATGTTATTATACGCACTGTCGTAATGAGTGAGTTATTCGCGGTCGTATAGTAACAATAGGCACAACGAAAAAGACTAACCAATGAGCATGCCCATTGGACTAACCTAACGAAATTGATGCTACATTACTACGCAAGTAACGTACAGTTTAGAAGTGTTAATCAATGGGCATGCACGATAAATTTGTAATGAACTCGCGGGAGTCTAGCCGAGCTAGTATAAAGTTACGTTATTGTAGAAGGAGCTAGTCTCCTATGCTTCGTATTTTAGAATGGTTAAAGATGCAATATTCGTAGAATTTTTGTAACAGTTGTTTTAAAGGTGTTGAGGAGATGTTTTAGTAAATTAAATACCAGCGCCCATTGTCTACATTTACTAATGGATATTTATATGATGTCGGAAATATTCGCTAATTTTAGAAAATTGACAACCCCATTGGTAAAAAAACTATCTATTTTATTTATTCTCGTTTGACTTATATTTCAATGATCCACCAAAGCTAACTAAATACTCCAGTCACACCGTCGCTTGACTATGAAACTTGACGACAGCAGGAAGAATTAGCGGGGGTGTTTATGTAACTGACTCATATCGGTATTTTGTATGACGGAAATACTATGTTTTGTTGCATAATGATTTGCCAGAGTGTACTTGATTATATCTAATAAGTTTAGTGGTAAGTTGTTCCACAGAACAGTTTTTTTTAATAATGCATCAACTCAAAGGGAAATTTCAAAAATACAGCTGTCTTAAAGTCATTTTGTTCAATGGAGACATGTGGGAAAATGGTCTGTAATCTACATTGAAAGGGAGGACAGGGCCATACGTCGTGCACCTCACGAAACGTCAAAAAGTCTCCATTTCTTTACGTGAATATATGCAAAAAAAATCTGATTTTTAATTACACATGTCTGGACGCTGTACTTTTAATATTCATAATTACATTTTCAAGCAGAATTGTAGATTCTAATACATGTTTTTAATCGAAATATTTTATCCGTTCTTGTGAGTGACTATTAGCCAAGGATTATCATAATCAAGGGATATAGCTGTTCACTGATTTACTAATGTTACCACCTGGCAGATAATACTTGCCAGTTATATTCAATATGGACATATTATGCGAAAGAGAAAGATGCATACGAAAGAATTGGAAAGCGGCAAGAAGGCGTATACAGTACAGTACACATTGTTATAAAACTGACCATATTACATCACGGAAAAAATTTGCAAGAACACATAACATTTTTATAAAAGATTCTATCATTTTCATGCCGTGCTTGGTCATAGTTTTAATGTGTTATTTCGAACTTCCCGCTTCTGCAGCCAGAATCAATGAAAAGAATTTTCAAAATGAATTGAGTAACGTTTTGGCATCTGAACCACAATCAGATCGTTGGAGGCGGAGAATTCGTGCCATGGGCGCGGAAAATATCATAAATCAAAATCGCATCAACGATAGGGTAAAGCGATCAGATGAGGATGCAAGAGATTCCTCGATTGGTATAGGATACCCTAACCCTGGAGAGATAAGAGAAGATTGGCTTTACCAAGACAATTATACTAACAAAGCTTACGGCGATTATGATATGGATATTTTGAACGATACTAATGGAGACGGGGAGTTGAATATGATTATTAAAAAGTTATATTCCGGACCAGGTACTTTCTTTCTATTTTTAAGTTTCTTAATATGGTTGTTTTAGAATAAACCTTAGTATTTAATATAATTTTAAGGGGGCTTATCGAATCAAGCGAGTGAATAGGTTGTTTTAAGATTTGCGCTGTAACTACCTATCCTTCTTCTATGAAGAAATATAACTGTGTTAGTGTGCAGCAAGGCTCTTGAATCACTTAGAAATGTTTTGAGATAATGCCATTATTTTGTGCGTATCAAATTTTGTCAGAAACTTTTGAAACAAATATCACACTTTATATCAGGGGTCGGGAACCTTTTTGGTCAAAAGAGCCATAAAATATACATATTTTCAATTGCATTTCCGTGCGAGCCATATCACATTTCTTCAGTTAATCAGGCCTGAAATGTTCACTCAAAAGTCAACACATACAATGTCAATATACGTTTAATGTGATTTCTGATGCTGCATGTTGTCGCTGCGGGCCTTGAACGGTTGCTCACATGCAGCCCAAGTTGAAATCTACGATACTCATCACCCTTTTTCGTTTAGGCATCTCCATAGTGTTTTTAAAACTCTATCGCTCTGTGATGTCACAATATATGTTCCAGAATCCCCTTGTTTGTCACAATGCCTGTCTGGTAACTATCTTACATAACATAGACATGTGCTGGACGCGCGTTCTCAAACGTATTGGGAATTTCCTGCCAAATTTGGCTATAAAAGAGTTTGAAATCTCGTAACAATAGTAAGCTTAGTCTTGGGATATTAGATTGTTCTGAGAGCCATATGCCGTCACCAAAAGAGCCATATATGGCTCGCGAGCCATAGGTTCCCGACCCCTGCTTTATATATATAGGCACGTTCAGTCATCTACGGTTTCATTAAGGCACAGTGGTATTTTAATTTTCTAGGTCTGTAGGGTTTCCATTGATGCCATTTCTAATAGCTATTACCCCTTGTTGGGTTGACGAAGAGAAAAACATGGCCGACAATATGAATTGTTATGATCGCAGTAAATAATAAAGCAATAAGAAGATTGAGATTGATTTATGGATTTATTTTAATTGCATACCACATGGTTGAAGAACGTAAACAATACAAATGACGATCACGGGTCAATAATGCGATTGTGGAACGTAGTAAAAGTGGTGGAGTGAGATATTTGTGTATTCTGCGATCAAAGTGTTTTCCCGTTTAGCCGAGCATGGTGCGCGTGAAAATAGGAGTCCGCCATACCACAAATTTCTTTTATCGTGAGCTGTTAACAGTATCAATACGACAGTATGTCACAAGTTGCTGTTGATTGAATTCTTATTGTCGATTATCCAATTTAAAATGATCTATTTTAACCATTTATACTCGTATAAATTCTTGTTATCAACCCCCGGCGTCTATAGTACCATGGACACTTAATTATGCCTGTTCGACAATTTCTTATTTAAAATTCAGGCAGAAATTCTTTTCCATCTATTTTAGGAACGGATGCTGAATTTAGCGTTGAAATTTTATTTTTAAACAGTCGCGAATAAATCTTAATGCTAATGTATTTGTTTATTTAATTATAAATAAAAATTATAAAATTTTTCCCAACGCCAACCCCGTTTGACCCTGCTCTATAGTATTAATAGTGCATTCTCAGTTACAATTATAATTTATTTTTTAATACTGGTGTGAGAAATACCGTAATACTGACCGATGCGCTTTTCATTTATAAAATTTCCATATCCTTGCGATACATTTTCTAAAAACTTGAGATTCTGAACATTTATTATTGAATCAGTTTCGCAGAAGATATTTTTACCAATGGTAGGGGCGACAATTTATACTATTATACTAGAGTCTGTACAGAAACGAAATACTGTACTATAATCTGTTATTGAAGATTATTTCAAAATAACAATTTCAATTATTTTACTTACGTTGAAATGTTTTTTCAAAGGCACCAATTAATTGATTAAAAACATTTTTCAAGTTGAACAAGCTTTTCTTGAACTTTCAAGTTGAGGCAAAAATTCCATCACTCTCGTTTGAGTTTTGTAATCGCATATTCTTGTTTCTTTATAATCTTGTGATTCAGATAATTACAAGGATACAAAAACGATTTCTTGCCTCCGGGTATGATAGATCAAGCTCGCGTACGCCGCGGTAGCAATTTTAAACAAGACTCATTTCCATTTTTCATATGAAATTAAGGATTATCCTTGTAATCTCATTGCGTTCATGCGATTTTGTTACTTTTTGTTGTACCAAGCATGGGGAGATGGATGAAATAACACTGTGTTATCAATTTATGCTTGGCCATTTTGAGTATGATTGATCACATATTAGAAATTGATCAGATAAACTGCAAATGATCATCAGTCGATAATATTCTGTTTTTTTTTTTTTATTGGCAGTAAGACCCAAAAAATTCTGCAGTGTCGGCCTTGGGTTGATCAGGCCTTAAAGCCGTGGTCTCCAGTCTGCCTGTATTTTAGCGATATAATAGGAAACGGCCCTTTCTACAAGGGCTTTTTTAGGCCTACACTACTGACTGACAAGACCAGTGCCTAACGCCCAAACTCAACCGATTTACCCGTAATTGGGATATTTATATATATTTTTGTTTTCAGTATGTGCTCTTGTGGATGTCAGAAATTCTCCGGACAATTTGAGCGACCTGGAAAACTGTACTGTTGTCAATGGTTTTGTTCAAATTATTTTTATGCACAACTCCAAAGAAAGTGATTTTGAGAAGTAAGAAATTTATTTGGTTTGTACCGGTAGCATTTGTAGTGTATTTTTGCGTTTGTGTAAATCAGCAAGCAATGGTCCAAATCACTCTACATTATTGTGACGCAATGCAGATTATATTTACCCGTTTATTGCTGAAAACTTCCCGCTTTGTCGATTGCATAATGCAAACTTGATAGCGACATTGTCCTGTATGCTTCGTACCAATGTTTTAGTGTAAACTTAGGTTGCTAATAAATCAGTGTCGTCTGTAAATTTTTGTTGCAAGAAAAGTGCTCTGTCATCCAAGTTCACAACACTAAATTTTTATTTAGCCACCAATCATGGATCACTGATATGAAAAGATTACGGTATACAGTATATGCGACTCATATATGGCCCCAATTTCTCTTTTCTAATGCACTTTGAACGTGTGGTTTGAGTAGTATATTGTTGTTAACATAAATAGGATTTTAATACTAGGAAAACGCAAACTTATCGCGGATAATCCTAACTTATTTATTTTGTGAAAGTGTGTGAAGAAAATCACCACTTGTACCATAATTATTAACTCCGATCGGGGAAGGATCGAAATAATAGGAATTAAAATTTTATCGCTAACCGCACCGTCACAACATCGCTATAATCCGATGGAGCATTGATAGAGCATTGCAAATACGTCATTGTACATTATAAACTCCTGATTTATGTCGAGATTTCAATCTAAATATATTTTCATTCCCCGCTATAAAGGCCACTAGTTTACAAAGTATATACATGATCAGTTCAAACATAGTGAATTACTTCTTCGACACTCCAAGAGGATACTGTATCGCCACCGTCTACCGTTTAGCCGTTGAAAAGCAGCCCTTACAGTATATTTGCAGCTGCAAATATTGTCATTAGTCCCATAGCAATAATAACTTATACCACTAAGCTTGAAACCAGAAAAAATCCATCCGAAATGTAGCAGTAAAAAATACTTCAAAATAGCAAAGCACTACAGTTCATGATTGGTTTAGTCTCTATTGCCATATGAAGGTGTTTGTAGATATAGACCACAAAGGTAAATACTGACTTTCGAGTCGGCGGTGCCAGATTATTATTAATAAACAAACCTTCGAACTTACCGTTTTTATATTTTCAAAATGAAAAACAGATCTCTGCATGGTAGTAACCAAACCATGACCCTGGCATGTACTATACCGGATTAGGATTATTCAATTTTTAGTCGAAAAAATACGCAGAATTATTTCTATTATTTTAGTATGACGAAACCATTTTTTTTGACACAGGCATTGGATTTGTCACACCTTTTCTTAGAAACCTCTTGCTTTTTATACAATAATATAAATTAGGATAAAAATATGTCTTTCATTATGAGCTGTAATCTAATGTAAAAGGTGCGCGATTCCAAAGGTGTGATAGTTAATTAACACAGTAGGAGCTTGTTTACTAAACACGACAGACACAGAAGCCTAACATCCAAAATTAACGTAATAAAGAAGACTTCTGCAACTTTGATTTAAAAGTTTTTGTGTTCTATTGATATCGTTTTTATTCATTTTTGGGCGTCTGTCATATGTGATGTCAAGGTTTGTTTACTACGAAACACTGTAAATATTATATTTGGTGTTTGGTCGAACAATACTATACTTACGTAGGCACTCAGAACTAGAAACATTATGGCCTGACTCTGCTCACCGCAGCATAGTAAGATTAAAATATTCAATGAATTTGTAGCGAGACTTTTTGAAAACCCGAACCGAGTATCTATCTAATAATGCAACAAAAATTACCATAGGGACAGAAATAACGAGTTACGTATTACACATTGTTATTATTATACGTCCGTTAAGTGTGGAACTAATTAGTTTAGGTACCTGGGGGGTTATAGAGCATCGTCTCGGGGCTGCAATGAAGCTGCCGAGTTTGCTGGCACCCCGGGTATATGGCGGGCTGCTAGCGTTATGCACGTTCGGTCCTTTCGAATTTCCGTCATTTTTAGACCGTTTCAAAAAGTTCCGAACCGATTTGGCTCCAAGCTTTTGATTACCAGTCATGCACCCGTTCTTAGCACCATTCGGCTTGTCTGCAATATGTATGCTATTTTAGCATTTCAGCTGTCACTGTGATCATATTCGGCAATAATTTGGCGAAAACTCTTCAGTATCATTAAATGAGTAAAGTTTGCTTTATTTGCACTGCAGAGCTTTTTCTGATAATCTAAATTGGCACCATCACTCTACTTTGATGCTATTGGGTATCTCCTTGTAAATATCACTATATCGCAATATACTACATCCCGCATGATCTCAAGGGAATATAAGACTATCATTAATTTCTATGTTGATGGACTGACGGTTGACTGATGCCAGTCCGATGTCAGGACTCATCAGTTGACTTAAAATAACGTAATACTGTTCCTTCCGACAATGCTTTTCAAAATTGTGTTACATAATTTCGAGCGCGCCGCAGAATTGCAATTCATTTCCCACAAAATTACTTATTTTTACATATCTGCTCGCGTATATTTTATTTATACGGCCCGGAACAAGGCGATATTAAACATTCAACCCCGGTATGGTTGTTTATTTGCACAACTGTCTCATTAATGTAATTTTCATAATATAAACTTTTCTTTTATACAAAAATGTCTTTCCAATGCGTCGCGAATTGCATTATAGAAATTAAATGCATTGTAAGTTTGACAGCTTTTGGGACCTATGTTTTATACTGATCCATTTATAATGCTTTTGATTTCTGGAACAACGATTCTCAAAAATATTCTTGTAATTTGCTTGTTTTATTTTATAAATTCAGTCGCCCCGGCAATTTATTGATTTTATCTCGTCATAATCAGACGGGAGTGTCGAAAAAATAATGTAGTTTAAAAACGTGACATTTATCGGAAAGTTTGTAACCTATTTACCCTATTTGTAACATATGATACTGCTGAAAGCAAAAATGTGAGATAATATTGTGTTACGCAATGAACATGATTGACATTTGTTCTGTGAGAAAACGAGTTTTTGTTTGAAAATGAGAAATAATTATCGTCAATTTTTGAGCTAAATACAATATACAATTTCTTATATTTAGATATACATTTCCAAAACTTCGTGTTATTACGGAATATCTACTTGTCTATCGTGTGTATGGACTTCGTTCCTTGAGAAAAATGTTCCCCAATTTGGCAGTGATTGGTGGAAGACGAATGTTCTACAAATATGGAATGGTTATTTATGAAAACCCACAATTACAAGAGGTAAGCCAAACACTATATATGGTGAAGTAAATTCGTTTTTTCGCGTTTTCAGGGGTAAAAACATAAAACAACGATATTAGCGCTTTAGGTAAACATACCTTATGTATGAATAGCTAACTTGTGTGTGAATTTAATGATATGTCACGGACCAGGATCCCAGGATAGGTATAGAATTTCAAGCAGAATATTAGAATATGCTTTAAAGTTCAAACTAATGAAAAATATTGGTTGTTATAGCGTATGTTATTTTGCAACAGATATCTAATATTTTAGATACTATATTGGTATATTTATTCTGGAACAGTGATTTTCAAACTTTTTAACCCCCGCCCTATTTTTAGCATTTGTCCAGTCCCGCGCCCACCTTAAAAATAACCACCTAACAATAAGCTACAAATAACAGATAGTAAGGCGAAGGGGCTCCCGAAGTATGCGAACCAAGATGACGGTGTACTAGGTTAGGGTTAGGCCTTAATTTTAGGTATAAATACTACGGGAGGCTCTTGGCTAGTCTTCGAACTGATAATAGGACTAAAATAAGAAAAATTGGAAAAAAATTATCGCCTAACCCTAACCTGTTACCCATGTTACGTTCCGATGTCCGCCATCTTGGTTCGCATACTTCGGGAGCACCAAGGCGAAAGTATGTTTTATTTAAAAAACACGTTAAAAGTACGTGGAAAAGACGTCAGTATCTAAGATAAATAAATGTAAATATCCAAAATGAAGAGGGCAAGATAAAATCTAACAAATATTTTTATCGCCCTCTCAAAAAATTGTCTACGCCCCTTTGTGGGCCACGTTCGAGAACCATTGTTCTAGAGAATTCAAATAAAAGTCAGTTACAGAGTATTCAGATACTGACTCTCAATATTGAACTGTTTATTGAGAGACAAGCATTTCTTTAATCGGCACGCTCTAAAAACAGAAAACTATCGAATTCCACGGCCAGAACAATTTATGTTGATTATTTCAAAAACAGAATACTGTAATCCATTTCTACAATTTCTCGTTCATTTGTATTCATTCTCGTATTCATAAGTTGGTGTTTTCCAAATTTCCCCTAAATTGACAGTTAGGTAGTTCCAAAACATAATAAATACGGAACGGTGAAGTTTTTTCAAGTATAGACCAAAGATGGAGAGCGTCGCTAAGACGTGGTTCATTTAGGACGATGCTATGTAGCTCAAAAAACGATCTTATTTGGGTACTTCCATAGTATGTGAACCAAGATGGCGGACACCGGAACGTAGTATATGTACCAAGTTAGGGTTAGGCCATAATTTCAGGTACAAGTACTACGGGAGTCACTTGACTAGTCCCCGAACTCGTAATAGAACTAAAATAAGGAAAATTGGAATAAAACTATGGCCTAACCCTAACCTGGCACACATACTCCGTTCCGGTGTCCGCCATCTTGGTTCACATACTACGGGAGTACCCTTACCTGAGGTTAGGGAACTGAACAATACCGTGTACCGTACAGCTGAAACAAAAATATCGTCATTATTGTGTTGTTTTCATGCGTATCGATGTGGTTGCATTCTCAGGAAAGGTTCACCAAATTTCGTCATTCCGTTTCTCGTGGCGTATTTAAGTTCTAAATCTTTAATTTCCTGCCCATTCACATTACATTATGGTTAGGTTTATATTGTTTGCGAAGTTAAGCTATATAAGACCCATTTTAACATAACTACAAGTTGTAAGGACAGCAATTTTGATAAATTTGGCTCCTTTTCATATGCATTTTATGTTTGATACAACTTGCAGTTTTTTGAACGGGAACTGTTTTGATTGTGAAATACATACGCATATATGTATTATTATAACACATACACCTCGGGTTACGACGATCGTGCTTACGCTGTTTCGAGGTTACGAACGGACTTCCAAAAAATATAAAATAGAATTCTGTACTGTAATATCTAAGCCCTTAAACTGGATAATTGTGATCAAGAAAATCAGTGCTTTGGGCTCATTGGTTTCCCTCATTTACATCGTACTTTTTGCATTATTTTTACATTTTATTACTTTACCATACTTTACAATACAGTACCATATGTATAGAGTAATTTATGTACTGTACAGTATAATGTTTCGACTTACAGAAAAATTCGGGTTACGCCGCTTCTCAAGAACGGAACAACGAGTCGAGGACTCCCTGTATTTATTTGAGGGCTGTTCAATTCAATTTTTCATTAGATTAAAATCTTATTCGTGTTTTATAAATACTGTTTTCTCCCCAGCACGGTTATTGTATCAGTGTTTTTGTAGTTGTACGCAAATTCATCTAATTTTCTTAACTCGGAAGCCAATGTAAAAAAAACATTGAATAATATGCGCATTAAAGCGCATTTGTTTATCTGATTCGATATAAAAAAGACCAGGCAAACGTAGGGTTTTGCCTCTTTGAATGCTTTCTTGTTATTTAGCCTTGTATAAAACATAGAATTGACGTCTTCGAGAACTTGTTTTTTAAGCTTCCACGAAATAAAGTTTCCGTTTCAGAGTGTTATTGATCGATCTCATTATTTCAGCTTGGTTTGGGAAGTCTGCAACACATTGCAAGAGGGGGTGTCCGAATCCAGAAAAACAACAAACTATGCTATCTTGACACTGTGGACTGGAAACGCCTTGGAATGGTAATATTAAATATAACAAGTATACACAATATGTAAGAAATATAATACGTACATATACGTACTCTGTCACCTACGAATGATGCGTACCACAACTTGCTTGTTTATGTTCTTGCTTTGAGATAATACTTATGATAAAAAAAATTATATTATATTTTTAAATCGGGGCTTATATCAATCGAGTATACGCTAAGTAATATTTTTCTTTTGCCGTAGTCAGCAGTTCCTATTTTAATGTCAGGTGACGTCATATGAATAATACCCAATATCTCGTGAGTTATAATCTACGTCATACTGCTGCTTATAGTATGAAAATAGCTAGGAAGAAAAAAATATTACGGAGAATATCCTTACTTTTTTAGCATTCGAACATTGTCGATCGAAACCGCCTTCAGTAAGAGAGTGAACACTTTAAAATAAAACTCATATATTTCTCATGTACAAATTTATCATAAAAATGATTAGGAACACTTTTTGTGATTGACATGGACAGATTTAGCAACACTATACTTGGAAAAGTCTCTTAAAATGTCTCATGTGTTAAGTATTGACGTGCGAAACACAGAAGAATGAAACGCATAAATAAATCACAAATCTTCAAAGGTATTTTCTTTTTACCCTTCGGCAAATTACATGAGATAATCCGATGTTCCACATCTTCTGAACTTGTGCGATTTGCTACCCTTAACTCATTGCGTTTATCAAAACTTCGTTATATTTTTGTACATCATGTAAAGTCAATGTAATGTAAACAATACCAAATTTTTTAAACAAGCTAAAATTATATGTGACATAATGGCATGTTGTTCTAAATCCAAAACATCTTTCCAAGCATGTTCATAAAATATAGCATAATTATGATATAAATTGAATTTAGTTATTTTTTCTTCCATGGATTCAATTTCCTTATCTAACAATATTACTGGAAACGGTATCCCCAAAATTACCGTAAATTCAACTTCATGAAATTTCAATTTTTTAAAAACTTCTATGAAAGGGGAATTTCAAAACATTTGCGTCATGTAAAAGGAGAAGCTGCACTTTGCTGGTGTAATATTTCTCCTCAAGACCTCGTTTCGCTCCGTTGTTTCTTTCCTAATATAAAAAAAAATAAAGAATAACGTCTTGTGCCTATGTCAACACCTATAATTTTTTACATCAAGCGCGCAAAATATATACCCCGAATAAGTTTAAGCTGATTTTGATCAATTTATATATAAATGAGATGAGATTTCACCACACATTGCACTCTGAACCACATACGAAAATTTCTGTCTCACGGTTGACTGAACATTTAATATTTTATTTGCGTTCATTGCTGCGATGTTTGCCATTAATATAAAATATTTGGCCCTCATTCCACCAACCAATATGGTCGCTGATTGAATTCACTAATTTTTATATTTATTACTGGGAATTCTTCGACCCGCCTGAATAAGTTGCAAAAATGATTGCCGGCGGGAGTTTCAAGTGAACTTGTTTATTAATAGTATAGTATTATGGTCTATACATTATTCAGCGACGCGGAATTATGGAGAATAAATTTTGCATGCGTTCAGTAAATCATACTCGTAAACAGCCTCGCATAGTCACTGAACCCTTCATGAACCAAAAACAATCCAAAATATCAACTCTGAATAAAGACCAAGAACTGGAGTTAAATAAACAGAATTATATCACCTTTGATAAGGTATGTAATATGCGATACGAAAATGATTTTAAAAATCGTTTTTTTTTTATTAATTGTTCGCGCAATGATTTGCGTGTTATTATCATATTGACATTTAAAAACGACGCAATTAAAATATTAATATTATATATGTAGCGACTTAATTGTTGTCAAAGAATGTTTTTAATCTTAAGTTAAGTATAATTTTTAGAAAATATCGGAATCCATCAAACACCGACACACTCGCAATTATATCTTATTATATACCAGTCTCAATTTCTGAAAAATAAAACAACACTAGTTACAGCACTGCAGATATCCAGTCGTTCATAGACGATGTTCGCAAAATGTTAACCTTGAAATACTAACTAAAACGGAAATAGAATAAACTATGACCGCAAGGATCTTCTTCAACCCAGCAATTAAAATTTTTGACCGTGATGTGACGTCACAATTATCCCAGAATCGGTTAAGTATGCCGTGCTGTCGTCCGCTGAATTTCTCGGTCCGTGCTGTGAGGTCACAGTTCTCCCGCAATCGGTTGAATCGTGCCGTCGTCCGCTGAGTTTCTCCGATTTTTGTGGAATTTTTACAAAGTGTTAATTGTTTTGTATCAACAATAAGCCCTCGCAGTTTTGTAAATAAATTGTCAAGTTGGATATAATCTATATTCGATCATAGGCGAATATTTTATTTTAATCGTGTTTCTCGCGTGTAAGGCATCTAGCTGGTAATTAGTTTCAAATGTTTATATACATATATAATTAATACAGCACGATTTGGGGATACCGCGAAAATTTGAAGTCGTTTTTTCCCCGAAGTTGAACTCCTGGTGTATGTCGGCCTTTTCGGAGAATTTCTAATCTTTTTCCTGTATACGAAACTCGTTTGGTTTGTTAAATAATTTACGGATTAGAACAATGCTTTTCGTAGATTAATGCTAGTTTCGAATATACACGAATAATGATATTGATGATTTTGTACATTTTCAGCTTAGAACTCAAGTTTCGGGCGTACAGATGTAACTTTTCTTTTAAATCAAAGTAAAGTCGATTTCAATACTAAATCATTCCAATTTCAAGTTTTTTTTTGTGTTATCTGCACCAAAAATAAAATCACTCAACAACAAATTTTGAACATTTTTTGAAAAAAATAAAACAAAAATACGAAAAACATGCGCATAAACACAACTTCTGGATTCTTGAAGCACTCTTGCAAAAACCACAAATTGCCTACTTGAAAGAAAAATGTAAGGAGAAATAACATCGAACATTTTCATTGGTATGTACCCACTATTCGAGAAAAATAAAACAATTGGAAATGGCATAAATGCACGCGCAATGTGGTCAGGCGGCACTTCAGTTTCGTCTGCAGATTAACAAGTATCGAAATTATAAGAATTGATTCTGGTTAAGTATGTGTCATTAATGAATTGCAACACCTAACGTGGCCCACCTATATCACGCACATGCCAAAGAATATCTTTCAAGTATAAACCACACATGTTTCATGCATTAACTTATTGTATATGTTAGCGAATATATGAAAAATTCTTATGCTATCATTTTCGGATAAAATACCAGATGTTCGATTTTCCTAAAAATCATATTTAGATACTAGTAGATAATCTCTTGATTTTCTAATTTTGTCGAAAAACGGGATTGCCAAAATTTGTTTATAAATAGTAACAAAATGATTACCTCTTGAGCGAAGTCTCTTCTATAGAAATCTTGAGAGTTGCCAAGTTGTGCAATGAAGTCATATTCCCTTGGCAGGTCGCTGCTCCCGTCGGAATTCAGATTAGAGTTGCAATAACAACATGTGCTTCTTTTAGTCGATTATAACACGAAGTTTGGCGCTTTCAAACTACGCCATCATACCTTGCAGTGTTGCAATAACTTGTTTTTCTTCCCGTAATTTCGTACCAGTATCCACCGAAAGGTCGTCAAGCTTACGGTAACTTGACAGTTGCCAGAATTAACGCGTTTAAAATTATAACAAACTCAATTTTTTTGATTAAATATAGGTTGCTGAATTTTAGCTACAATAGAAGGTTTTCGTGTTAATATATTGTTTATTTTTGTAGGTTCGCAAAACTTCAATTATTCTGATATTTTACAGCTTGGTACCGAAGTTGTGAACAAAGATATGGCAACACCAGTTATCCAAGACAACACCGTATCTGGAGAAGAAACTTGTTTGAATCAGTGCGGAGAAGAAAACGATTGTTATTCAGCCGATTCACAGGGACAGGAAAGACAGCATTGTTGGGGCCACAAAGTTTGCCAAAAACGTAAGTTATGTGCAGTTTTAGTTCGTTTTGGTAGACGAGAATTGTTTGTGTTGGGGAGGTCCCGAAGACTGCATTTTCTTAGGAATGATTTTATGTGTGTCTTGATTATGAGGCTGCATTTGTGGAAAAAATTGTATATAGGAAACTATGCATTATTTTAATATTTTTAATGTAACTTCGATTTTCCAATAGGTCAGAGCTCACGATCTTATTTATAACAAACTTTCGCAAAAGAGTAAAATGCTTGCACTAAAGGTGTTGATGAACTCGTTTGCTGCTATTTTTAAATCACTTAAAATACTTAAAATTATGTGTTAGTTAATGAAGAAGTTCCGCCAACTTTATTAGAAAAACTAGTAAATCAAATATTGAAAATAACAGGAAAAATGCAATTATTTTAACATTTTAATTTTGATTATAGATCAGGTTGTTTATTGGAATAAATTAACCTGTTATATACTAATCCCAAATCGCATAGCGTAAATACTGTGGAATTTTTTAATTGCGACTCTCAGGGTTAAGTCATTGTTACAAGTGCTCGATTAATTATTCCACTCTAGCCACGGAGAGTTAGCCGTAGGCTACGTTTTCACTCGCAGACGAAAAAACAATTTGGTGGTCACAATCCAAATTTGAATTTTTATAAACTTTTCGATTTGAAGTACGAGAAAATTTTGAGTTCTTTTGTCATCCGCAATCTTCATAGCTTTCTCAAATTAAAATCCTAGATATTTCCATATTTTATTGAATTTGTAAAAATATGTATATTCCAAATTGTATTTTTGATCCAAATTGAGTATATTTCAGAGCAAAAATATTGTTTTACCAATGAACTTGCTGCCATAAAAACACATAGATCAAAACAGTTCGACTCTTTTATCTGACACAAATCAGCAGACGCAAATACGTTTTTATATGAATCATTAAATTTTAATACTCTCTTACCAGTCGACAACCCTTGGGTATCGATCTTCAATTTCTGTATTATGTGTCCAAATGGCCGCGCAAGCATTTAATTCTCATTGACCCTAAATCTGTATGGGGTTTTTGATGATAGTTTAAAGTTGATCTGTATAACATTATTACAATCTGTATTTTGTTTATTGTAAGTTTCTCAGACATATCTATTTCGAATAAAGGTTATTTTCACATAATGCCCATATTAGAAGAAGCTGTATATCTAAATATTCAAAAATTTCAGATGTAACAGAAACCCTCTGTTACATCAGCTTCAAAAAAAGTGCAGTACGTTTCTCCTATTTTCAAATGAACAAAAGTAGCTTTTTACTGCGTTTTTTTCCCTGGAAATATTTCTTTCTTCAATTTTTTTTCTGTAAAATCAATCATTTGACACAAATAGCTTGTTGTAGTGTGTACAGACGACTGCGCCTTTTTGGCATTTAAATCGCACGGTACAGAACGATTGTCTATTTTTATTCGTGACGGACAAGCCTTCAAATGATGTTAAAAATGAGTCATTATGTTGCAGCCGCTGAGACTGGATTGATCCGGATTTATTCGGTTTCTACTTAGCAATTTTCTTGTTTTCTTTTTGCACTGAACTCTTTTAATTATCACCTGAGTCAAATGTCGTGGATATTTGCGGCATGAGAACTACTTGAACGATCCAACAGCCGCTTTAAAAAAATATATCCACTTTTCAGCATATTGTTTTGCTATAATTTAACCATATTCAACTAAATTGACATTCTTTATCAAAGCCAAACCACGCATATAGTCTAATATATTCCGACCTACACATCACGACCTGACAGCGTCTTCTTGTCATAGTTACAGCATAAACTCAATTTCTTATGAAGCTTTGTTTATTTTCAGTTATCGCGATTTTCGACATTTACTTTCGATAATGTCGCTCATGATAGCGTGGGGAGCGTTGTTTTGACAGAAAGGTTGAATACATTGTTCATTTAAATCTGCGAAACGATTTATCGGATTTTTGCCTCGTCGAGCGATAAAAGGTGTGCGCGGAATGAACAGACTTTATAATTTTGAAATTTGATTATTTCCATACGAGTACATTGCCAATTCTAATTTAAGAAAAAATTTAGTCTTGGATTATTTATCGTACTGTCATCGGATCTGAAAATCAATATAGTTGGCGATACGGAATATCAGCCTATTTTTAGTGTGTCTTTTAGTTACTATTCTGGGCGCTCCAGAGGCGTGTGTACCAATATGGAGGTAACTAATTTTGTTCGCCTATTTCACATCAAGTTGTGTAAAGGGACTGAAACCTATGGGCAGGGGGTGTATTCATTTGGCTAACACAGATAGTCCCGAACTCGTGATAGAACTAAAACAAGAAAAATCTGAATAAAACTATGGCCTCACGCTAACCTGGTACACACACTACGGGAGTACCCTATCCTGGGCGCGGTAGCTTGAGTGGTTAAAACGTTGGACTTACCTATGGAGAGATTCAAAACCCATGCCTACCCCCTGTAATAAATTATAGGCAATGCTGATCTTGTAAGATTCCAGACTTCCCAAATAAAAAGTCTTCTTTCATATCATTGGCCTCTTGTGCAGGGCCTTGATCGAAGAGAAAGCAGTAGAAATACGTCATATAAAAGTATTGGTTCTGTCAGTTTCTAGAATTCGAAGAAATTGCTAGTTGTTAACAATTTCGGCCGATGGTTATTTCATTCCATATAATTTCATTTAAAAATGCTAGTATATACTGTAGAATCTGTAGATCTTCAAATACTAAAGATCCTTAGTTGCGCCTTTTAGGTCACGATTCATCAGTGCCCCATATGTTGTCGCTTTTATTAGGATGATTACTTACTACTTCATTTTATTGCCGTGATTCAGAAATACGTCGATTCTCATTTGTTTAATAGGATTACCGTTCATCCCAGCCCAGGATCATTATTACTAATCAACACCGCAAATTGTTTCCTCAAGTATGGGACAACAGTTTCCAACAACTGCCACCCATGTTGCTCAAAAAATGTTGAATATTTTCTCGGCTCAGAGGCCAAAGGAATTCGTAAATTGAATACGTTTTTTTCAGTTTTATCATAACAATTAGGCTGTAATTATAACACAAATGTGGAGTTTTATGCAAAAATCTCTTCACAAGTTAGAGATTTGGGGTTCGAATTCTGATCAGCCCGGGTCTCTATTTATACCCATCATATAACACGGTGTTATAATGTATGCCCCCCTTCCCCATCCAAAAGAAATAGTGATTTCCTACTCTCTACAGCAGTCCATATTCGTACTCTATTGTTTCGCCTAAAGCAAAAGTGCTAAAATATATGTAAACCTGTGTGTAGAATCGTAATATATACTCTACGCTAGTAGTTGTTATCGATTAGTATTCGGGAAATATTTGTCTCTGTCAAAATATTTCGGAAATTCTGTTTCCTTTGTCTCCTATGGCATTTGCAATTATGAAATTGTTTTCAATGAAGCTCACACCGAAACCTTGAATCATGCGGGGAATTCTACGCGATGGTGGATATTGCAGGCCCGTTTTGGGATAATTAAATTAAAGTATTAGGCTAAATAGATAATAGTCGAATCTTGCCCTTGATATTCTGTGTATTAAGCATACTTGCCTAATCAACATGATTAAATTGCTTCTGAATTTGTTGGCTTTGATTTGCTTTGTGATGCAATATTACTTTGATTGTAGATTATTTAAACAAAGCTGACTTGGTGTGTTGACAAAGTTGAGTTCACATAGCTGAGTTGTTTGTGTTCATGCACAACACCTCATACTCAATAACTCTTTGTTTCGATTAATTTTATGTAGTTTTTAACAGTGTTTGTATAGATATCGGAACCCCAGTATCCTGTTTACTACGTTTTGCAGCTCAAATTACAAATTATTCTTTGTATTCAGAAGATTTTTTTATGAATGGCACGCTTTCTACATCACACACGTTTAAGACGCAAACAAGTTGAAACGAGTCTCCTTGAAAAAAAATTTCATACATTCATGCACGGATGGGTGTTTAATCCTAGACATCGATCCAATATCCATGTTTGATATAAAATTTCCTGTTTTGTTAGGACGATATAAAGCGTGCGTGAAACAACGCACAGTAGGATAAAACGTTTGCAATACAGCTTGTTGATTCCGCCAATTAAACAGAAAATTTTCCTTTTTTTTTCATTCTTTTATCCTTTATAAAAAAAATCAAATTCAAAAAGATAATCACATAAAATACATGAAATTGTATCGAATTTTCGGTTAAGTAAATGATTCTGGACTCCACTGAATGGATATCAATTATATATATATATATGGTGTCCCAAAATAAATGAAACCCACAAAATCGGTAATCGGTTTGGGTTAATAAGGGAATTGTGCCTCCGAGTGTGCGAATATATCCGTCGATGATCAGTTATATCCACACTTATGTACAATTCTTAATAATATTAAATTTCAGAATGAGAAAACCACATTTTTGTAGCATTGTGTGGTCATAAGACCAAAAAAATGTATTTTTGAATGAAAAAGGATTGGTAACTGCACGAATTGCATTGAAAATATTATATTATATTTGTAACCACATTTTTAGACATTGATTGTCTTCAATATGGTGCAATGTCACGGCAATGTCAATTGATTTGAAAAACAAACAGGAAGATTTGAAATCAGTTTCATGTGGGTTAGCAAGCTTTAAATTCTTAGAATTTAATTGTTTCATTCCATGAAATACGTTACAGCTTGCATTGTTTGCTCAGGGTGTCCGTGGTTATACGCGATCATGCATCACCAAGTGAATAGTCGTACCAACAGTTACAAAAGGCTTTCTCAAAGTGTCCGCGGTTATACACGGCCGAGCATGACCTAGTTAACAGTCCTACAACAATTGCACAAAAGAAAAATTTCACAACCATGAAATCACCAAAGTGGGAGGCGAATAATTCTCTCATAGTTCTTCTCACAAATTTACTGGGCAAGGGCAGGGAGTCACTAATCTTTAGAAATATGTGTTTGAGAGTAGTTTTTACAAAAGAAT